TTTGAGGGGATGACTACGTTTTTTAAAAGCCGTAAGCGGAAACACAGACAGCTTGTCGACATGACCAGTAAGGCCCTTGTAATACCATTTCAATAGTTCTAATAATTAGTTATGTTAATCCAGGCTTTCTTTGCACATTAGCAAACCACAGTCGCTCTCTGATATTTCTCTCTAATGCTGTGAATGAGAAAATCACTCTGCTGCACACAGCTATCGGCGTTGATGTAGGAAAATGCAACAGTTTATGTCATCAGGAGGTATCTGAATTGAATTTGAAAATGTCTTATCCTAAAATATGAATTAAATATTATTGTTCTTATTATCATATAAGTTACAAAGTCTACACAAAACACTTGTTCCTCTGGTGTGACACTGGTAATGTTGGAAATCTATGGAATTGCCTTTAATGTTTATTCTTCGGACAGCGGTTCATTATAAAACAGGAACAATCCGGTGCAGCTGATTAAGTATTACTTCAAAATGGGTCCTAATGTGGTAGAAATCCTATTGGCCTCATCGGCACATTGAAAGCGGTTTTGTTGCCCTGTTTAAAAGAAGCTTAAAGGTTCAAAGCTCAGAGGATATGTATTTACATTGTTCCCCCTCTGTAACTATGAGTTATTATGTTTGCAATTAGTTAGTTTTAGTTTTTCATTCAGAGTCTCACTGAAAGAATTGGAAATTTGGGAGTTTTGCCCTTCGCCGCCGCCTCGTCACGTATTTTTTAGTTTCCTTCCTTCTTGTGTCCCTGGTTCAGCTTCACTTCCTGCCCTGTCTTGTCCCCCCCCCACCCTGTGATTGTCTGCCGTGTCCCTGATTGTTTCCACTTGTGTCCAATCACCAAGCACCTTCCCATTCTACTTAAGCCCTGTGTGTCTTTTATCCCTGGTCGAGTCAATGAATGTTGTCACGGTGAATGTGGTTTGGCGCCTGTCCTGATCCCGGGTTTGACCCAAGGCATTTTGCAAAATCAAGTATTTTTGTGCCCGACATCCGTGACTTGCAATGTGACAATAACGAGAGCGAAGACCCGACCCGAACTCCTTACCAGAGAAGAACTTTGCTGGAGAAACTACAACAGCTGGACCCAGATCAGCCTCACCTCACGATCAGACAACAGACCGGATACATATAATATATATATATTCATATTATATATGTACTGCATTTTTTAAATTAGATCCTTATTAGTACTTATATTAAACTGTTGGAATAAATATCTAATGCGTGTTTGATACGTTTTTTGCATTGAATCATACTGGGATGTTTACTGAAACTGATTGGCCGGCCCTACCGACAAAAACAATCCACCAGCCGCCACTGTTTCTGACTAAACACTAAGGCCAAGGGCACTTCAACGTGTCACGGCAAAAATACTTTAGAAATGAGTGATTGCTGAATTCCGTTTAGCTCCTTCATTTTCTGGGTTCCGTCAAACTGTTGTCTTTTACCGGGACACTTGAACAGAACTTATGCTACTTATGTGAACATGCTAAACTAACGTGGTGCACATAATAACAATGATATCAAATAGACAGCAGCTTGGTAGCGTTGTCATGATAATTCATAACCTCTTCTCAATAAGCTACACAGTAAGATGTCCCACACCCAGAGGGATTTACTAAATGTCACTTGTAGGCAACTTGTCTGAACGTAACCAAATCACATAAGACATTTGCAACACCGTTGACTGCAGTTAGTGTGTGTTGGTTCTGAGGTTCAAATTCAAACTATCCCACAGTTGTCTCCATCTCACGGCTCCATGACCCCTGATGTGGTTAAAAAATAGCACTCTGTCCTCTTCCATGGAAAACCTTGTTGCTCAAGGGAGCGATTTAGAAGCTCCTTTAGAGAACAGGGAGAAAGGACTCCATTCATTTTCACTTTGTGGAAATCTAGGAAAATCATATGAGTCAAGCCTTGGACCTGCCTGGAGCTAGTGCAAGGATGTGTTAGTCAGGAAGTACAGTTGGACACACAAAAGGGAGCGCCTGGCCTGCTGTTAAAAGATACTGAAAGCTTCTCCCCCTCAGAGGCACATATCCAGCCTCGAAACCGCCGCTCCAACAAGTCTAGAAGCTGAACAATGCTGGAAAAAACTGTTTTTTTCGCTGTGCACCTGCACAAGAACACGCCACGGCTAATACATTGAGGGGGAGACGCGTCTGTAGGATATTAGAAATAAACCGACGACCCGGTTCATAAAATGAATAAAATGCATATAGTGTACACTAGAATACAGCCATGATTCTGGAACTGTCTAATCAATAAAGTAATGACAATATTGTAAAACCACTGTAATTCTGCAACTGTAATAGAATAATACCAATGTACAGTTATGATTGTATTTAATGTAATGTAATCAACTGGAATGCATGCATGTAATACTTGCACATCAACTGATATTGACTAAGGGTCATTCGAAATCCGAGTTACATTGAACTCACCAGAAGACCACTCCCAGAGGTGTGGACACTAACTTTCACACCTTTAAGCATTGTTATAAATACCTGTAGGAACCATTGTTCTGGAGTTCAGGACTGACCTGGGGCCTGTTGGTTGCTGAGACCAGCGGCTCCTCAGCTGAGATGTTCTTTTTACCACAACAACATCTCTTTTATTAAATACATCTGATTTTAACCTTTTGATCTGCGATGCCCTCTGTCCGTCCGACGTTTCTTCATTTTTGAACACTGCACGTCGTACGTGGAGCTGCGGTGCTGGAGGGTAACATCTACGGCGCTATGAATAAAGGCGTACGCATGGCCTGCCACAGTCTTTAATGTGTTATGTGTGCATTTTAACAACCCAGTCTCACAGCAAAACGTGTAATAGCTACGTTGTGGAACGTGGTATTCTCACGTTTTATTCCCAAAATCGTGACGATTTTAATGTTTACATGTGGTTCTCTCATATGTTTATGTAAGATTTACTTAGTTTTTTCCTCTGAATGTTTCTTAATACTCACGTGGTAGACATGAGTAAACTACAAAGAGAAATTAGCCTGACATAACCCACCCTGACCAGGAGTAAGACAGGGAGGTAGAGGGGGGGGAGGGAGGGGGGGTCGTGCCACACAGAGTCGTATTGTTTCGTCCTTTGTCTTGGTTGCTTTGTTTGTATGTAACTGTTATGTAAGCTCAGACCAAGATTGTGCTCGGCCATATTAAGAGGATCACAATCTGCCGTGGGACCGGTCATTTTGTGGGTCTTTGAGCTCCCAGAGGGCCGCGCTGCTTGCAGATACACGGACACGCTTTACACACGGTGTTCAGTGAGAATGGAGGAATCCTAGTGTTAAATGATTTGACGGTGCCACCCTAAACTTGTGTGCGTGTGTGTTTTGTGGAAGTGTAACTGTCCAAAGTAAATGAAGTGCTATGAAGGAGGCAAATATGAAGAGAGCATTTGACCCTGAATGCACAGGCGTCCAGCCTGGAGAAGGCGATACGCTTTCCAATAACCAATCGCATCTTTGTAAAAGACAAAAAAACGTATGTAGGCTGTATGAAGCATTAGCAAAATGTTATAGTTGACTATGGAGTCGGGTGTTATACAAGCGGTGAGTTGGGTTACAGGGGGCACGGGTTAGTGTGCAAAACCTAAAAGAAAGCCCAAAGGCAAGCAGAGGTATGCTGCAGGGAGAACAAAAGGAGGCTTGGTAAACAACATGATAAAAGCGAGGCATCACAAGACCTTGCTCTTCCCTCGAGAATGAACAAAAACTGGGACCGTCACACTTGAATCCTTCAACATCTCGTTTTTCACCGTCCACAGGGCACAGCACACTCGGCTAAATGTCATCTTGTGCAGAGGGTAGAGGATTGCTTAATTGTTCACCCATGAGCAGTTAGAATCACAAGCAGGCATGCTCAACCGTTCTCCTGTCTCCTGTGTCTCTCTGGAGCAGCTCAGCCCTCCAGTTGTACTTTCCCCAGAGATCATGAGACGTCGTCCTGTGTAGTGACGTCTGTCCTGTGACACCACCGGACAGTCATTTGCATGATGCTGTTTTTATAATGGACCGTGTCGTGCAATCACTGAACAGACTGTCAGGCTTTGGTAACTGCTCGTGGACCCCCCCCCCCCCGTGGTTATCAAACCTCATCAGACAGAAGTGATCCATGCTGAGCAGGTCTTGGATGCCGTAGTCTCAGACGGATGGAATACGTTTTCTTTCTTTTTTTAAGAGGTTTTTTGAGGACATACAACAATAAAAGAAAGTAATAATAAAAGCACTATGCAGATGTTTGTAGGTAAAAGATGAAATAATTTGAAAGGATGGATGTAAAAACCATAAAAGCGAGGATCAAAGTCCATAAAATAAAAGGCAGCAGAAAAAAATGGAGGCAAAGAGTTCCTGCCGTTTCAACCTTCTTCAGAGGAATCCATGAGGGAAAATGACAAACCCGGAGAACATAGAGGAGAGAACAGGGAAGGAGGAGGAGTTTGAGGAAGAGCTTCTGGTTGGTTTGAAACCTTCATCCCACCTGTATTGATCACTTCACCTGATGTTTTGCATTATGCTATTCGGAAGGGCAATTATTTCAACTGTCACCCAACTGGGGAGGACGGGGAGGGAAAGTAACAGAGAGTTCCCTGAATCCTTTAATCACGTGAATCTTTTAATCATAAAATAAGACCTTGTCAGAAGTGGGATAGACTGAAGATGAAAAAGAAAAGGAATTTTCCCTGAAGTTGTCATCTATCCTTTTGGTACATCCCTCCGTTTTCTGTCTGCATTCTTACTCCTTCACTTTATCATTCTTTCCTTTTTGTAGGATTAAAACATTAAGTGAAAATCTGCAAATCAACCCCGAATAACAGATTCCTTTTTAATCCTATACCTCCGTCTCAGCATTCAGCGACCTCGTTCTTTCCTCACGGATGCACTTAAAATCCAAAGCCCGTCTTTGCCCTCAGTACAGTTCCTTGAGTCATGTCGCTGCAGTAAATACAGATAGTTTCTGTTTTCAGGTAACTGCAGAAGACGTGAATAATACAGCAGGCTGTACCTCAAAGTGTTGTTCTCTTGTTGTTCTCTGCTGCACAAGAAGACAACATTGCACTATGAATTGAAGCCGGGGATTATTTTGTGTGATAAACATTTTGATTGCATGAATTAGAATAACGCTTGATCTTAGTTGTGTGTGGAGAGAGCACATAAAACCAAATACAAAGGCAGCATGAGAGGGGAAACTGCTCCACTGATTCCTTGAAATTAACCAAACAAACAAAGAAAAGTCCAGTTGTATCTGTGCACACATGCCACACTGAAAGGATCCCCGGAGCAGAGATTGGACGAGAGACAGAAAGCACTTCTTTCCCAGCCCTCCACCGCTGCTGTTCTCCCAGTACCACGCAAGTGAGAGAGCGGGGTGGCGATGATGACTGCCCTCTTGGACTCCTAGACCACCTCAGATAGGCTGCACCCCCCCCTACCCTCCCTCCCGCTGGTCCACTTCTAACACACACAGTCACTTTTCATCAACCAGCCTGTCCGGTAATGGATTCCGGGCTCCTGTTTGGACCAGTGGTGCCCACATCGGACCCGACCGGCGGGGCACCCTGGAACATCAGCTCCATCAGTCCGCTCCGGCTCATGGAAATGTCTCCTGTCTCAACAGCTGTGAGTAACTCCATTTGTGTTGTTCATTTGCTGGTTTTGTTTTGGTCTGCTTGGTGAGAGCGCCTGTGCGCCGCGGCGACGCGTAACGGCAAAAAACATCCACGTGAATTGAAACTTGCCACATCTGGCACAACAGGCAGAACTTGTCAGGTGTGCGTTATTTTCGCTTGTTTCCTTTGAGCAATACCGTATGCGGTAGGTGTGGGTGAGCTTGATGTTGAATAAAGGAATCACACGCGCTCCATTCGTTCACCACCGGAACTGGATGCGAGCGGGCGTAATGAGCGCAACGCCCGCCATCTCTGGGGTTTCCACGGCTTGTAAAACATGATATTTATATTTTTCATCTATGTGGTGCAAGTGCACATCGTATATTTTGTACCAACGTCTCAAATAAGATTCTTGCGTTTAGAATTGTTAAGAGACCAGAGACCTCGTTTCAGAATTCCTGTATATTCCAAAAGGTGCAATAATCTCACACCTACCCTAATCCTAATTTACAGCAGGATGCAGCACCAAGACGTCTAACTGGGTTGGATGCTGTTTGGGATTGTTGGTCAGTCACAATATTGCTTAATCTAAAGCTTTGTAGCCGTGACATCACTGACCCCCCCACACTCACCTGCAGCCTCATTTACCCATTTTTACACTCGGAAGGATTTGTGCGTGAGAATAGGATTAGTTTACGCATCCAACTTCAGAGAATTCCTTCATACAGATGTGTAAACCAACAGGGTGATTTATCCACCTCTGTACTGTAGCCACGTGCAACACATAGAGCATGAAAAGAGAATACTGGTGGTGTTTGTCTAGGAAAGGACTGTGTTATATAGTCTCTGTGATCCATCCAGGATCTGTTAAGCACTTGATTAGATAGTTAGCTGGTAAACGCAGACAACCACTCACCCGATTGACGACTTGCTCGACAACGTGCAGCAAATGATCAATTAAGGTCTTTGCATTGTTACGTTCAGACATGCAGTGTAAACCATAACAATATGCATCCATTGACACGGCAAATATGTAATGATGTTTCACATACGTCGCATATAAAGTCAATCAAATGTAAAGCCTCAAGCACATGTACACCTCTACGTCTCTAAGGAGACTTCCGTGCCGCTCACCTCGCCTCTGCTTCCCGTGTAATCTGCTTTAATCTGGCGCTGCGCCACAGGAGGGGAAATGAGAGAAAGCAAGGGGAAAGGAAATGGGTGATTTAGGAAAGAAAGGGAGTGAAGGAGGGAGGTGACAGGGGTCATGAATCAGAGGCTTTGGCGGAGATGAGAAAGACGTCCAGCAAGGAAAGTGCACGGGTGTGAAAAGAATGAAGCAGGTCGTCAGGGGAGGCTTTACAGGTGATCCACATCATCACGTCAGATGTAAGACGTAAAACGGGATCTAAGTGTGTTGAAATCACTCACACGCACACATCACGTCTCCATACATCTCTAAGGAGCACAGCCCCTCAACCTTTTTCCTCATTTGCTTACATGGTCACCATCACTTTCCACATAATCAAATGTCCTCCTTTCTAGTGGCAGGAGCTTGACTCTGCAGAAAAGCAGCTCTGCTGAAACAGATGTTATACAAGCATGCGCTTCACACGTGTGTGTGTGCCAGGATTCATCACAGGAGATGTGTGTGCTCGCAAAGGAACAAAGGAAGATTCGGCTTAGTGGGAGTCGTCCTGTCGAGTGTGTGTATGTGTGTGTTTGCAAATCTGCTCAAAATAAACAGACAATGAGACAAAAGTGGTAACGCATCTTATTCCATCCAATCCAATCATATATATATTCAATACAAATAAATGTTCCGTCAATTAAACCACAAATACTTAACATGAGAAAAAGAGAAATCATTTTCGCAACTTTTTTGTGAAACGCCGCATGAAGCCGAACGTGAACCGGTTCCTCCCTGTGTTCGTTTTCAAGGGTTCCTTCATCTTTCCAACGGTGGACGTTCCAGATCACGCTCACTACGCCATCGGTGTTGTCATCCTGGTCGTGGGCATCACAGGCATGCTGGGAAACTTCCTAGTTATATATGCGTTCTGCAGGTACCCCTTTTCTGTGCTGTGGTGGACACATATTTCTGTGAATTGAGCTTATCAACAGTATCAATAACAAATGTTGCGCGTGTGTTTGTTCGTCCATGCAGGAGCCGGGGCTTGCGGACGCCGTCAAACATTTTCATCATCAACCTTGCAGTCACAGACTTCCTCATGTGTCTCACTCAAGCACCTGTCTTCTTCATCAACAGCATGCACAAGCGATGGATCTTTGGAAAGAAAGGTAACGCACGCTTAACAACTTTAAGTTAAATATGCTTTTACATTTGTATCTAAAAAGCGGTGCACATGAAAGCAACCTAAGCACAGTCTGGGCTGTTAGCTGCATGCACACACACACACACACACACACACACACACACATACATATGAGCATATATCATTGATAATTATGGATACACACTCAAAATTTCACATGGACTTGTATTAGTGCCTCAACCTTTAATTAAATGACTTTTCTGCACACACTAACCTGACATCATATATCCCACTTTTGTGCCACATCCAGTACCCAAACCCATCGACCACAAAGAGAAAGCAAGAATACGTTTTGGTAGTGTGTTTTTTTTGCCTTTGGAGAAGCGGATGTACCATAGTGTGTAGAAAACGCCTGCGTGGAAAATACTGAGAAAAGATACGGAGGTGGAAAAAGAAGCTCCGCACTGCACTGATCAAACACTCGTGCTGTGTTTTCCTTCAGGAGTTGTCTTGGCCTTAATGAAGACATTGCATCTGTGTTAGATCTGCAGCTCAACCCTCAAAGGAGGCTACTGCAAAGGTTACCTTTCGCTCAATTAGAAGAGACAAACACGCAGTGTAGATAAAAAGACAAAGTCAGGGATTAAATGAGGTAAAGTAAAGGCCAAATGTTTGATGCCTTTGTCTGTTTTTATCCACCAGTTCGACAAACACTACCTCCACAATCGCTGGATCAAATGTCTTTACAAGACATAGATTTTTCATAAAGTTCTCTAATCAATTTGAATAATCTCTATTAGTTTAACCAAGGGACTCATTAATTGGCGCACAAGTTGGCACATACATAGTAAGAAGAAAAATCAACCGTGAATCAAAGATAAATGTGGAAAACCATATGTCTAAATGATTTTTTTTCATGTATTACATGTATTGTGGAATGGTAAAACCATCCCAAAGCTCCATTCAGACTATGTACAAATGTATTTGTCTCCTGGCATTTAATTCACATTTTTAATGATTTATTCCATAGTTTTCTTTGTACGTTGTACATATCAATAAACTAAATAATACACAAAGAAATAATATACAAAATAACAAAATAAATAACGAAATGTATATGATGCGAATGCTCAACTGAAACTAAGTGATCAAGTGAAAATGGTGGATGGAAATGAAATAATAAATTAGGGCTTTATTAAAAACATTGCAGGGGCTTTTTAAGCAACTCTTTTAATTTCTGAGATGTATTCTGGTTTTTCTGACGTGAAACCAGTGCAGTGGACTTTGCTCTTTGACACAACGCCTCAGGGCTTTATAGTAACATTGCAATATTGTTCCTCTCTGGAGAACATCCGCTGTTCCTTTGCAGTCAGTATTGAATGCGTTAGCCTGAGTAACTTGACAAAGGCTGACAAACACACACGGTCAGGACCACGGCCGGACAGGCGCTGTCATTTGAAACTGCCCGAGTGGTATTTGCTTGAGTTTCCTCACACTGTCACGGTGTGGTTTTATTTCCTGTCTTATTTTGTTGTTTTCTGCTTCTTGTCTCCCTACTTCACTTCCTGCCTTGTCCTGTCATCCCCTGTGATTGTCTGATTGTTTCCACCTGTGTCCAATCACCTGCACCTCCCTAGTGTATTTAAGCTGTGTGTGTCTCCTGTCACTTGTCGTGTCATTGTCAATCGTCCTGGATGTTCGTTATTTCCTCCCGGCCGTTCCCCACAAACCCCATTATTCATTAAAGCCCCCCCCCCCCCCCCCGGTTCGTGTGCGTTTTTGCCTGTTGGCCTTTTCCTTTTGCCTTCTGGACGATTAAGGTCTTTGTTTAAGAAGTCTGCGCTTGAGTCCTGCCTTCCTCCACCCATCCCTGACACACACAGGCGACGCACTTCAGATTTATTCTTGTGCTTTGATGTGATAACTTGACAATGTATGATTTGTGACGGGTCGTTGTTAATTGCACATGCAGGTCCCGAAGGGACAGCCACTCAGAGTCGCGAGTGAGTGTATTTGTTCAGTGCGTCTCTCTGCATGCACATGCCTTGCTTCTAATGCTATCGGCTTAAATAAATAATGAAGCATTTTTGCAGGTGTTTCATATCATTACATCGTTGATGCAAAATAACACAAGAATACAAAATAAAACTCACCGCGGTGAGATGGACAAAACAGCCTGAAAATGAACCATACCTTTTCAAAAAAACTGTCCATAAAACGGATTACTGCACGTTTTGAAAGACGAGCGGTCTCTGTATTTCCAGCTGTTGGTGAAGAAATTGTTGGTACTTTCCTCACCACCTCTTTCTCTTCCCCTCCTCCAGGATGTGAGCTGTACGCCTTCTGCGGAGCGCTGTTCGGTATCTGCAGTATGATGACACTGATGGTTATTGCGGTGGACCGCTACGTGGTGATCACCAGGCCTCTGGCCTCCCTTGGGTTGATGTCTCGCAGGAAAGCCCTGGGAATCCTGGCGGCTGCCTGGGTCTACTCCGCAGGGTGGAGCCTTCCTCCCTTCTTCGGCTGGAGTGAGTTCAACGGAACACAGAGACCTGAATGCTCAGACATTCCTATTGTTGATCCTGTGAGGAATTTAGTTTTCTAAGCTCAGTACTTCTCTCTTGCTGTTTCTACTTCAGTGTCTAAAATCTCTGCTGAAAGGGGAAAAATTCAGTAATCCAAGTACATTTAATATAAAATCCGTTTAGAGGGCATTGCCTCATGCTTACCTGTAGCTGAGATTACGACGGCATGCACAACATGTGTGCATATAGAAGAAGCCTCTGGTGTGAATATCAAACACAATGAGCGTTAGTGTCCAACATGCTGGGGCTTCCTCTGATGGATTATGCACGTGGGACTCTCGGGTCTTACAGTCTTATATTACAGCATGACCTTGACAGATGGAGTTACATATAAGAGAACAATGGAATAATAGTCGGCCTGACGGTCCAACCATTTTTTGGGGGGTTTGACAGACAACCTCTGGATACATTGCTGGAACATTTGGTAGAGACATTTGTGGTCCCCAAAGGAGATGTATCCTATTGACTTCCCTTAGCTAGAGTACACACATATATATATATATATATATATATATATATATATATATATATATATATATATATTCTTCCTCTTTTAGACACAGCGTGCTGTATTGTTCGGTTTCCAGTCTTCATGGTTGTAGTTTCATATTCAACATACAGGAATGTGAGAGTTAGATATAGATCATTTCTTCTAAAGCCCCATTCACACTGGAATAATATAAAAAATTTTTTTTAAATGACTGAGATTGTCTTCTGTGTTTGGCCGTATGTGGAAGGTGTGGATTTGACAAACATTACAGACAACAGCTAAAAACAGCAATTGTCTGACTGAAACGCGGGTTTGTGTGTCCCCTCCCTCAGGCGCTTATGTCCCAGAGGGTCTGATGACCTCTTGCTCCTGGGACTACATGACGTTCACCCCGTCCGTCCGCTCCTACACCATGCTGCTCTTCACCTTTGTCTTCTTCATCCCCCTCTTCATCATCATCTTCAGCTACTGCTGCATCTTCAGAGCCATCCGACAGACAACGCGGTTGGTACATGCGCGCGCACACACACACACACACACACACACACACACACACACACACACACACTGCGTTCACTCTATTGACATGATGAAGACATGGGTGTTGATACTGGTGTTTTGTTGATTAACTATGTGTTGTGGTTTTTTCATGCTGTTTGTGCGTCTGACACATTGTTTGTGTACACCTAAGCTCAATACACATTTAAGTCAATTTACTTTTCAAAGTAAGCTTTTTCAAAAAAAAAAAGTACAGGGATTTTGATGTAGAATTACAATCGAGCTTGGAAATGGAAAAAATAAATAACAAAAAGGTTTGATAACGACGATGTCGAGTGTGTCTGTGTTGACAGAGCAATAACAAAGATTAACTGCCAGGGAAAAAGAGACTCGGCAAAGAGATTCCATAAGATGAAGACTGAATGGAAGATGGCCAAGATTGCCCTCATCGTCATCCTGCTATTTGTCATCTCCTGGGCCCCTTACTCCTGTGCGGCCCTCACGGCATTCGCTGGGTAGGTGCATGCGTGTGAGTGTAGGTGTGTTTGCTTTGTCAATGGCCGCTGAGGATAGACATTTTTCACAGCCTAGTGTCAAATAATCTTGATAGGAACTGAAAAGCTGCGATGCTCCATGTTTTTCAATAATGAAGCAGCACAGTTCCGGCTTTAATATGTTATTATTGATGCAGCACTGAGTTAAAGCTGCTGTAATGCATCATGTTATGAATGTATCAAAGGACAATAGGAAAACTATTGGACGATGTGAAGGGGAGTTTCATCATGAGTTTCATTGGCCAACCCAACTTTACTGACTTGTTTCACTTTTAGCACTCAGACAGTGACAGTGACTCTGCTGTGTTCCCTGAAAATGTCTCGTTCCCTTCTCTCGTTTGCCAACACGTGTCTCTCAGGTATGCCGATTTGTTGACTCCCTACATGAACTCTGTTCCTGCCGTGATTGCCAAAGCGTCGGCGATCCACAACCCCATCATATACGCCATAACACATCCCAAATACAGGCAGGTAGCTCCAGCGTTGAGCTTCATTCACAGCAGCTAAAATTCTTTGATCAAATAGTCTCATCAGCACCAACGACTGTTAAAAAAAAAAAAAAAAAAAAGATGGATGTAGTCGCCACAACCTCCGCTGTTCACTGTAATATAATGCAACCTGCTAATTTAATGTATATTTCCATCCCTCAGGTCAGCCCTGGGCAGGTATATCCCCTACCTCGGGGTACTGTTGTGCGTTACGGGCAGAGGCCGTTTCAGCAGCAGCAGTTTCCTGTCAACGCGCCGATCAACCCTCACCAGCCAATCAGAAAGCAAAAGCAAGCCCCGCACCTCGTCCCTGTCTGAGAGCGAATCAGTGAGTGTGCCTTGTATCCAATGCGGTATGTCTACGCCTTACACTTCAAATGGTTATTATTACCCGTTGCTGATTTTGGGTGCGCTTGATTTTGTCTCGGCGTCGCCTCGAAGGCCCACTTCTCGGACACAGAGGAGGAATGCTCCTCCCGGACGCCTGCCGGGCGCCAGTTGTCCGGTGATGTTAAGCAGATACGCCATTGCAGCCAGAGGACGAAGGTGAGGAGCGACAACGCGGCGGAGTTGGGGAGAACCGCCCCCCACGACCCCACTGACCCGGCCCCACGTGCCCTCTCACAGATCACAGTGAGTACTGGGGGCCATTTAATGGCCACTAGTATGTATTCCTCCGGAGATTCAAGCGATCTGAGTTACATCCATTTATATCTTTATTTCTTTGTGTCAGATCGTAGTCATCAGACTGAGGAAGGAGGGAAATTTGCGTCTCACTGAAACTCTTCTCACTTTAGTCACACAATGTTTTTTGATTGGTGGTATTGGCTCTATTTCTTTATCACGTCAAGAAGGATCTCATTCCGATCATCGTGGATTTGAGAAGTGTTTACAGGTTTGGTATTCAGAGCCAGCTGTTTCTGAGCACTTGTGTCTGTCTTTAAAAGGTGTTTCATTCCCCTCTGACATCCATATTTACTTGCCCAACTTTACAGCAGATATGAAACAAATGTGCAGCCTGGTAAAAAAAGAAAGACTTTGCTCTCCGCGGCTCATTTGCCAAGCGATCAAGTCTCACTTTCATCAGCTGAGAGGCGGCAGGTCTTTCAAGCGTCCCTCGCAATCACCGGCTCATTGACCAGTTTCACTTGAACAATCACTTTGTCTTTAATATGGAGCCTGGTTGTACCAATATACCAACGTTTCAGCAATGAAGTATGTCGTGGACAGCCGTTCGCTAAAATCAATGAATCAAAGTAATGTGCGTCATTGTTAAGGCTTTGGAAGAATGTAAACACAGGCTTGGAATGTGATTGTTTGCTTTGTGTTGAGCGATGGTAAAAACTATTCACATCTGCAGCACTTTGGGCATCAAGCTGTCAGGCCGATGGACACAGGTCAGAGGTCACTCTATGTGGGGCATCCGATATATGGAGCGTTTCCGTCTTTCCATAATCATCTTAGTTCGCAGAGAAATCACAAGCCGCATGCGGACACACATGGACATGCTGCCACGCAGGACTCCATTACAGAGGGTCTATAAACTAATCCAATAATCTGGGAGTTTCAGGCTTAATCCACAGCTTGCATCACGCCGCCGCGTGTTTCAATGCGCTACTTGTTGCAAGCAAAGACAGCCTCAATCTGCAAAGGACATACACTTTTCCTTTTGTCTATAATCACTGCTTACCTACAAAGTATAACCTATACATATTTATTTTCAAGGGTACTACTTAAGTACTTTTAATATCTTAAACTGTTTGACTTAATTGATTAGTTTGTGAAATGATACCAAAACTCCATCTTTAGAGTTGAGAGGATGGATTTCACAATATGTCAGGCTATTTCTTTAAGATTTTATTTATTTGTGTATAACACCGTGGTTTTAAAGAGGACGTCGTTGGTGCCCCCATTTTCAGTGCTGATGCTTAAATAAAGTTGCTATTTGCAGATGGGATTCTGTGTATGTCACAAGATAGACACACAAACGGAAACAACCTAACGCACTTTTAAAGAGAGCTCTTCTTTTATGGAGAGTCCTCGATCGGGAGTCCCTCTATCTTTAGTAAGAATGTGGCTTAGGGGCTCAAATAGTACAGTAGATCTGTTGATCCAACACTAAATGGCTGTGTCTATGTGCGTAATGTTCAGACTGTGAAAGAACCTGAAGACATCTCCATGTCGGACATCAGCCTGAAGCCAACCGGTCATCTTCCTGCTACTGTAAGAGTCCAGCCATCATTAACCTCTTGCTCTCTGCCAAAGATGCGGCATCTGTTGTTTGTGTCAAGAAAATTATCCAATTCCTCTAAAAAAAATGTAATGGGTAATAATTTAGCATAACAACTATTCTCTGCTAAATATTGTCTTCAAATTCCTTCAAACCTCGACCTTTTCTGTCCAGAGATTTAGTTATTTGTGTTTTTAATTTAAATCCCACAATGCACATTGCTTTGACATTGTGTGCGCGTTATCTTTCCTGCTGAGAGTCGGATGCTATTCTCGTATTTGTAGGCCGAAGCCAGCAGCCACATGGCTCAGCTTGGTAGACGTAGACGTCTGTGAACTCGAGGGCGGCGCTGCGAAGCCATTTGTCAATCCCGACCAATCAATGCATCTGACCTGCTGTCACGGTCTTAATCTGGCAGAGGAGGATCGTTGTACTGATCCAAATCAGTGCGACAGTTGATAAAACTCATTTATTTTCCCTCAACACACCCGTCCCATTGTAATTTTCCTTCCCACAGGCCGCCAGCCGCCTACTCGCATTAGACATGTGGAGTCACGAGTCATAATAACATCAACAAACGTCCCTCTCTTCCCCCCGCAGCTGGACAGCGGGACGGACGAGTCTCGGCCGAGGACTAGGTGTAAGACAACGGAATCTGTCATTGTGACCTCCATGTCCAGCCCGTCGGTACTGCAGAGCCCCTGCGGTTTCCCCGGTAACCAAGGGGACCGTTAACACGGAGAGGCCGCAGACCGAAGCACTAAACAGGTGGACAAACGTACAATAACCGTGGTGCGATTGTGCGTGTGTGTGTTTCAATATTTCCTTCCATGGGGATTTGTATGTGCAAGCATGTTGTTTTGCTTGTTATGGTAACTTAATTATTGTTTGCATACAGAGTGTGAGCATGTGAGCGTGAATCCCAAGTAAGCGGAAGTACGTGTGTTGGTATTTGCACATATACTGTTTTTCACATATCACGGGGGTTGGAGATGGTTCATCTCAGGGCCGGAGGCAAAAAAGCCTTAAAAACACAAACTGAAAAGTTTATTCTCTGGGTTTGGGTAATGAATACATAAAAAAAAAAAAATCATTTTTAGTTCAGATTCTTGTCATATCTTGTCATATTTTAGTAAAATAAATCGAAATGTGTGTTTTTTTATTGTGTTTAGATACAAGGTTGAAGTCCTTTATTCTCCAGTTCATACATTTTTGTTGTATTGCGTTTTTGTAATATTACATCACCATCCGCCTATTCTGCAAAAGAGCCACACTTGAGTTTATCAGCCATAATACATTTTTGTTAATACAGATGGTCAATATTCAAAATATATATTTCTGTCTGAAATTATTTCTAACTGAACCAATTCTCAAAAGCCAAACTTATTTTTATTGTTTACCTTTTTTTATTGAGATGTAACCCAAAACTGATTTTTAAAGACCCTTGGAACCACCTGCCCTACCAAACCTACTGAGAATCAACGCCCTGCTGTGCAACTAAATGCTTGTTTAGGCCACTTTAAACGTGTTGTTTTGGTTTACACATTTATCAACACAAATTGTTCTCAGGTGCAGGTGGAGAAAGTACATGAACTTCATTGGGAAGCTTATGTTGTATCGTTTATTCTTAATGTCTATGTAGGATGTTTGCTAACACGTGCTTTTGAAATGTATGCAGATTTTACATCACATGAAAATATATTTTCTGTGTAGTTTTGTATTTATTATTCAGGAATTATTTCAGATTAAAAGTTGTTTAGGGAGGTGCAAAAAAAAAAAATCCCAAATGCAGAGCTGCAGAGTGCTCGGTAAAGTAAACCGCAGCATCGAATGTAAATTCAAATGAACCCGTGGGAAACACTGCTGATGCTATAACGTCTGCTCCTTCAGGCTTTCCTTGTAGTTCTAGTTGTCCAAAAAAAAGACACTTGCACACATTCAGCGAACATTCTACGAAACACCAGCGATGTTTTAAAATCCTTTTGATTTCCCAAGCTCTTTTTCCACTTGTGTATATTAGTTTCCTCAGACATTTTTAGGATTTCTTTAAAATGATCAACAATCAACTTAAAGTCTTAAAATCTTAGTTAACACGGCAACGACGGTTAAAACCCCCACATTGTCTTGCAGCACCCATCAATGGTTGCATCTGAAATTGCATCCTGTGCACCATAAATTCAATATTTGATGTATATTCAACCTACCTTTGTATCGATTGAGAAGTTTCAACCTCATGTGACCAATGTCTGAACTACTGTAAAAAATACATATACCATGAGCAGAAGTAAAATCTGATTGAAATTGTAAAGATTTGTTCCGCAGGTCAATGTCTTTTTTTATGCCGAGGTGGTGTTCAGTGTCCAGAAATAGTTTGCAATCCATGAACTATTGGTTCTATACTAAAGGTTCACAATAAAATCATACGTACACGTTAAGCGTGCAAGAAGCTAGTATGGAATTTTGGACGTGACCGCGTTTTATTAAAAAATAAATAATCCATCATTTACTTTATTCTTTAAGTGATGGACTTGCTGATTTTGTTTTATCTGCAAAGAATGTCTTGTCTTGTTATTTATTTTTCTAAATAAAACTAAAATTCTGCCCTACTGGCGGCCGTGTCTCCATGTCTTGAACTAGCCGTCCATTTACGTGGATGGGATGCGATGAATGATGGTTTCCATATTTGAATAATCTGCCATTGTTTCATGCACTATTTGCTTATGCATTGCAGTGTTCCCCCTCTCTCCTAAAGAGACCTTCAGAATCTCTGCGAAGAAAGAAGACACATCATTTTGTTCTGCTCACACATCCACATCCACCCATTAAAGTGAAGCACCGTAATCATTCAGGCGGCAGCTCCCAATTCCATCCATCAGTACGGACTAACCGATACATTTTTGTAAATCATTTGGTCCTTTCCTTAAATGGAAGATATCCATGCTGCACAGCAGATATTAGCTGGAACATTTAGGTGTGAGATAACGGTGGAATCATTGTAGGTCCAACATGGGAGATGGACGGTTATCCTGCATGCTGTTTGTCCTGAATAGTCCCTGCAGAATACTGGCGCCCTGCGGCGGAGAGAGGTGCACAGTTTGCGTGAGAAAAAGGGGTATTTTGGATTAAATGTCTTTTTACAATCTGAAAGAAGACATTTTATGGCAAAAAACATTTTTACTTGTAGCTTCTCCCCTTAAAAGAAACCTTAGTACTGATCCAGCATAAAAAGTGCCCCTTAAATGTCTGTTTCATTATTATTGTTACGGCCTTTTGGAAACAGCCGTGACAGGAAAGCACTGACTCAGCTGGGTGAAAGAGGTGAAAGAATAACAGAACCACAACTAAAAGTGGTTTTGTACCAAACATTCATTTATCGGGTTCCAGAAAAACAAGGACATCAGGGTCTCGAAGGCCAAAACAATAAACAGAACTCCCCCACTGACCAGATAATAAAGAGTTGAGCTTACCTACCGGAAATAAACAGAAACAATAGTGACCTCCCTACAAAACAGGAAAAACAAGGATATTAAAAAAAAAAAAAAGATGAGAACCCCTACAAACTTCCTCAATGTGTCTCACACCTGCCTGAGGACACAGAAGACAGTCGGGCCTTGTGAGCGGCCGGGAGGACGAGGCGATTTACTGATCGCCTGACGCGTTGCTCATCAGAGGCCTGAAACACTCCTCACAGAAAGCTGTGCTTCAAGATGCATGTCTCCTCTGTAAAAATACTCGGCCTCTCTTTAATATGTTTGTAGTCAAATAATAATGTTGCTTGAAAATTGTTTGTGGTTTATTCTTTCATAATTATAATCATAAAGAAACAGGAAGTGTGCAGCGCAACGACTTTGTTTATCAGGGTTTTACTTATTCTGTGTATTGTGTTTGGATTTGGTCGCCCCCCCTATTCGCTACTCCGTGCTGTCAAATGTCCCCATCACATAGTCACACCTGAGGCCCCGAGGACAAGCTGTCCTCACACACACACACACATTCACTCACTCACAGACACACATACAACACAACACATTAATCTACACAGATTACTTATAAACCCGGTCGGCTATCAGGAATTTATCAGTAATGGGGGAGGAATTGTGTATAACTACAGAACAAAATTTAGAACAAATGTTGCTGGACAAAGTTTAGTCCATATTCATACTAATAGTTCTGACTGTGAAATAAGACATTTCATCTTAGATAATTCCGTGGATGTTCGGTACAAATGTCAGACTCTGCTTGTGTCCAATTAACCTTCACGGCTCCGGTTGGCTGCTAATTGACTCAAAATTGCTCTGCATCTCAGTCGTACAAAAATCGGCACTCGAGTCATCCAGGTGGACGTGTTTGGCCGCTTGGTTCTCTCCTTTTCACGAGCAGAATGAGAGGCTGTGGAACCGAAAAGGAAACGGCATCAGTGCAGAGCGACTGATAACAGGGTGTTAGCGGCATGGAGCGATAGCAGTAAGAGAGGGAGAAGGAGAGAGGGAGAATGTGTTGCAGTAAGAGGGGTCTATATTGGCTACGTGAATCGGCAGTGAAGCATTCTGGGGCCTCGTGTTACAGGCCTTATAAGGGCCACGGCTCCTGTGTCTATGCTCATCTCGGCTATTCTTAGGCTGTCGGCCCCTCGTCCTCCGCAGCGCTGCAGGCAAGAAACTCTCCTCTCTTAATAAGTTTAAAGTTTAAAGTTGACAAATTGGAATGTTTGGGGTTTGTTTCACAAGTTTCTAGTTCACTCGTCTGTTTACTCCTCTACGTGTATATCTACACATACGTGTATCTGTGTGTGTGTGTGTGTGTGTGTGTGTGTGTGTGTCACAGAGGTTCCACAGCACCTGACCCACCCACCAGCACCAGCACTACCTCAGGGTGTTTGTCCTGAGACAGACACGGACAAACAGTGGTCAAGTAACAGAGGAAAAGCGTCCACCGAGACGGCCCGGGACAAAAGGATAGCAGGGGGAAGGACGGAGAGCACGGCCACAGCAGCAGAGCAGGAGGAGAAAAACCACCCCGAGTCGCCGGCAGGAGGAAGATGACTACGTACACGGTGACTCTGAACGGCCCCGCTCCGTGGGGCTTCAGACTACAGGGGGGAAAGGACTTCAACATGCCGCTCACCATCTCCAGGGTAAGGACAGAGACGGCCGAAGAAGAAAAGTCATCTCACTCACAACCAGCAAACAAAAAACGCACCGGCGCGAGATGATAAAAGATATTTCACAAACAATTTCGACGAGAAATGAAAAGCTCTTCAAAAAAAAGAAACACACAATCCTGTAAACACAGATGCCTTTTACTTCAAAAAGCTTTAATTTGATCACATCTTCCTGGTTGAATATCTCCGCAAGCATCATTTTGTGCAGGTGTTTTTTTAATCTATGTGTAGGTAACATTTAACTTTTAACGTAACAGATTTTTTTAAGGACTCCCTCCTCTGTTAACACATTCGATTATTTAAAAAACTAACAAAAGTGTTTTTATCGCTTTCACCAGGTTTGACAATAACGTCTTGCATGTTCAAAGGTGTGATTAGTGTGCGAGCAGCGGTTATGTAATGTTGCTCTACGTGGTGATGATGACGACAGGGAGGCTCAGATGTGATGTCCAGAGAGATCTCAGTGGAAAGACTGGAATAGATGTGCAGCAGCATTATTCACCTTTGAGCTTTCCGAAATTATAATAATTCACTACAACAAGGAAAAGTTAGACTGCTGCAGATGACAGAAGACAAACATGATGAAGACATTCTGTTGTCTCAATAAGATGAATACTATATTTAAAGATACACTTTCTCAACTCTCTTTAAGGGTGAGGATTATTAGCCTATAGTTATTAGAATTGGGAATGAAGCGGGGGAAGTGACGTGTCAATTAAATAGCTTGAACCTCCGCAGCAGAGAGACAACACGTCTCTCTCTCTCTCTGTCTCTGGCAGGACTGCTGGTGTATTTACAGCATTTCCTTTAAATAGCACTGGAGGAGAGGTGGATGGATGGAGAGGGGTGGGAATGGGGCAGGACAGAAGGCAGCTCGTGTTACCTTTAGTAAGCTTTAATTCTCACTCATAGCTCAGTTTTGACTTTTTGGAGCTGCTCGTGTGAGGACATTGGGACAGAATGGATGGATGGAGGACTGGAGGGAGGAGGGAAGGCGGAGGTGGAGGAGGTGACGTCCTGATTGATGCTCAGCTGTTGGTCGGCCCTGTTGTTTTACTGATTCACAGCTCCAGACATCTTCTGATCCTTTAGTCTTAGGCAGCCGGTGGTGGAGGGGGGGGGGGGGGGCGCTTGATGCGTCCACCATGACATTGTTTCATCGGATTAGAGCTCATCTTGTGGGCGTGTTGGGCTCTGACGGGTTGATATAACACCTCGGGGTGTCTGGATGTCAGCAGACTTTTGCACAGAACTAAGAGGGAGAAGATGAATGAAGACTGTGGAATCCCTGACATCTTGTTAGCAAAGCTAACTGTCCATTAAATAAACTGCTTTCATGTCCTATTATCTTCTATGACTTTTAGTAGAAAGAACGGGGCATCCGTGACTTTATATTGAAGTCGCAGATGGTGCATTGAGTAGAAAAACAGCCCCCTGGACACCATCAATAAATGGATTAAGCATGTGATGTGTTTTTATTGAGTGATACAACCCATTTCATTATTTTACTTCCTGTTGAATGGCAGAGTGGTCAGGCAGCACGACGTGTCTACATGTGTGTTTGATCCCGCGGCAAACCACCTATTGTATCCGCTTTCCACACGCACACACCTTTCTACACACACCTTTCTACACAAACCTTCTTACCGACTTCTTCCGAGGAAGATTTATGTCATGTGTGGAATTATAAAGAAGAGGACTTCAGTAAATAGAAAAAGAAAGAGTTTAAAGGAAGTCTCACATGAATGTCAGTAGCAGGTGTGTGTGTGTGTGTGTGTGTGTGTTTGGGGGATGAGGCTCAGTCGGGTCAATCTCAGGGAAGCTGGAGGCATCAACAGCGTTGCTTATTTTTAACTCTTTAACGAGTTGACTGTAAGCTTAGACCCAATACTGTATGACCCGGGCCCCTGGGGCCACTTGAGCCCCCCCCCCCGTGTAGTTTAAAGGCTAAAGTCTGGCTTTTAGCAGAGCAGAGAGCGCAAAGATTCACCCGACGGTCGATCGGAAACAGAGACTGCATTAACGAATGTGCTCTATTCCTATTTAAGGGAAAGGCTCGTTTGCAGCTTTGGGGGCCGATTGAATGCAGAAATTTTAACTAGCGTGCCGCTGGGCGGAAGGATTAGCTCATTTTACTTCATCAGCATTATTTATCTGCTCTACCTCTTGACGTTTCCTTTATTCACTGAGATATCTTTGTGGCGGCTTTGGTTGTGGTGGAATTGATTCATTTTTTATTTTACAGTCACACAACCAGTGAGTTCATACGTATCCCCCGCAGCCAGTAACATTTGGATGTATTTGTGTGACTGCATACCTCTTCCAGCTGCTTGTTTGTTTCCTTTGGTATCTGTGTGTGACATGCGCCCCCCCGGCCCCTCCGTAGATAACCCCAGGGAGCAAGGCGGTGGGCGGCAGCCTGGCTCAGGGTGACATCATCTCCGCCATCGATGGGCTCAGCACCGAGGGGATGACGCACATGGAGGCGCAAAACAAGATCAAGTCTGCCTCCAGCAAGCTGGCACTCACCATGCAGAAGTAAAAACAACACAACGCACCGAAATCATACACGCACCAACAATCCCAAACTCTGTCCTCGTGGTTTGTTATCGGCCGTTTTGTTTTGCTTTTGTCTTTTCGTCAAAAACAAAGCGATCAAACATTAAGCAACGGAATGTTTCAACGGGACGTTTTGTTGTTTCATCTTCAGATCAAAACGTGCCGCAGCATTTTCCACAACTCCAAGAATGGACTCCCCCATGCCTGTCATCCCCCACCAGAAGGTACAAACACAAAGACAACAGACAAATCAACACAGAAATACCAACACTTAATACATGCATACTTGTTTGTTTTGTTTGTATGTCTGTCATGCGCGCTTTTGTAATCTTGTTTGTGAGTCTTCACTATTCTTCAATGGTGCCACCGGACAGCTGCCTGCTGCCCTCTAGAGTCAAATATACTCCCAGTGCAACTGAAAGGAAGTCGGCCAACCAAAAAGACAGCAACCAAAATCCACGAAAATCCAAGACGAAACAAGCCCATCCCTTTATTCTAGCCGTCTTTTCTATCCATCTATCTTCACCTCTTCTCCTCTTTTCAAGGAGATAGAAAAAGCGAAAGAGGTGGCCGGGCCTAAACATTTTGGGGAGGAAACTCAAATGGTGCAGGAGGTGTCTGATGACTTTCCCCGGCAAAGAAAGTCCCCTGAAAGGAATCTCTTCCAAGTTCCTAAAAAAGATCCAGAGCTGCTCTGGACCCCGGTCAAAGCCTCGGCCTCCTCCACACCACCTGCAGTGTCTCCACCTGGCCAGAGGATGCAGTACAATTCCCCAGTGGGCCTTTACTCCCCCGAAACGCTCAGAGAAATGATGGCGATGCAGGGCGGGTTGGGACAGGGGTCGGCCGCTTCCCGGGGAGTTACATCACTGGGGTAGGTCACCTCGCGGATCAATAATCTCCACTCACGTAATGCCGGGAGAAGAGGATTTAACTCCTTTGCTGCTGTAACAAAACGTAACAAAAGTGCTTCTTTTCACTGCGAGCGAATGAAGCGGCGTCCCGCTCCACATTAACTCGACCGTAATAAGAATATATGCTCAGAACTTTCCAGCCGTCCTTGCTCTCATACATGGCACTATTTCGGGAGCGTACACACAAAGATATCTGGCCGGCCTCCAGGTAACGGAGCAGCAGCAGATCCGGCTACAGGAATGAACCCGAGGATATGATGTTGCAAAGATTATTTTTAAAAGAAACCTTTTTGCTGTTTCAGCTCCCTGAATTTCCCTTTCTGAGGCTTTTTTAATCTTCAAGCGAATGCATTTCCGTCCTCTGAGGCGGAGGTGTAAACCCGGTTATGCCTGGAAGACTTGCTTCACACGATACAACACACGATACAAAGCATCGCATCGCTCGACATCCATCAACTCACTCGCAGACCTCTGAAATATACAACCAGATGGAGAGAAAGGGATTTGCCATAATGACATATGTAAGGTTTAGAAATATTATTACTAATAAATAATAGGACAAAGAAGAACTTATTTTGATTATTATCTATATTATTATTTTGGATTTTCTATGCATAATAATAGTATCTTTGCGATTTACTGAAATTATTAATAATAATACCATCAGTCAAATCCATCTGTAACTTAGTTTATTGGATAGTTTGTCTCTTTTTCTCATTAATTGTATTTACAGAGGTCCATTTGAGATAATTCATTGTAATTGATAATTAAAGTAATGAAGGAACACGTGACTTAGTTTAACAGTGGAGGAATAAGTGACATCAGTACTTATATCAAGGGAACTTTGGTCATGCTGGGATGGAAGTTTTGGCTGAAGCCTCCATCATGAAATACTTGCAAATGTTAACCGAGAACACAATCTGCTTTGCATCTGACATATCACATCCAGATATCGGTCTCCACTAATGTGTTTCCCCGCTGGAGCCGAGCAGCTCTACCAAAAGGCCACCGGTGAGTCAAATGTCAGGCAGCGTGCTGCAGACCGACTGCAGCGACGATGACGGCGGTATCATGCCAGCGACCCCACCTCATTGAGCTCATAGAGACGTCTGACACCACGCGCACACACACAAACGCACACACACACACACATACGCACAGGAGAGAGGGCAGCTGTTGGTCAGGGAATGTTCCACTCCAGTTACACACCATCATCCTGAACCCCCCCGGATGCTCCTCTGCCAAAACCTGAGATAGTTGCCCCTCTCTGCGGGGAAACGCCCCAAGCACATCTTACTTTACCCTGAACACATGAAGTAAAAACCTTATTTAATTAAAAAATGTTGCCGCAAAAGTGAGATGTTGGTGTGAAAATGTAGTTTCTAAGCTAATAATCTATTACAGCCGTGTTTGTCTGAGATCAAAATAAACTTTTCAACTTGAAGGAAAATGGACAACTGGGGGGGATGGCGGGGGGCGCTGGTGACCCGTCCACTGGGATTCGTCTATAAGTAACGGCTGCAGTCCGGACATATGGAGAGGTGCTATGTGTCGTGTTTGTGTATATTTGTGGCTGTCCTGTGCTAAATGTGTCTTTGTATCATGTGATGGAGACTCGTCTGCTCTTGTCAATCACCCGATTGATGCTGCGGAAGCTGGGAAAAAAACCCGGGGATTACTAAGGCGGCTTCCAGTCTGTGTGCACGTGGGATTACAGCGTTGCGCTGCAGTTGGATACTTTTCCTACGGGGACGCTCGGTGCCATTGTTATCACCAAAATAGCCCCTGGTGATTCATCACGTTCTTTCCTTCTCTCTCTCTCTGCCTTTCCGTGCCTCTGTGGTGTGTTACAGGTTATCGCAAACACAGCTGGAAAGTCAGTACCGTCCCGGTGTTTGATGTGCATGAAGTGAACGCCAGCAGAGGCAGGAGAGGGAGATTTGTGTGCCACTAATGCATCATGAATATTTGTGTTGCTCATTTGATTCTTAATCTAACAGCATCCGGGTCCCCAGAAGAAAACAAGTTAATAAATGCATTTACTCCAGTGCTGTATTTTAATTCAGTTTTAGGGTAATACTACTTTTATTAAGTTAATCTTGAGGTTTACTACTTTTCCGTTAATTTCTTCCTTCCTACTTAATGGTTCACTACAAATATTTAACTAGTTAATTCAGAGACAAACTTGTGTTTAGTGCACAATAGTTCTGCAAATATAGCAATATAGACCTTATGAAACTATTTAATTCATTTGGACTTTACCGCATTGACCCATTATCACAGTAAAAACAAAAATGATTGTCAATTTAGTTTTAGTTTTACCTCTTAAATAGTCATTTGAATGTTGAACTCATATTCCACTGTGATATATAATAACATAGGTATGTTTTTCGCCTCTGCTGGTCCTTTAGTCTTCATCTAAATCTGTGTATAAGATATTTGCAGTATATTGTTTAGCAAGATGCATGTGCGTTGGCGTTTTGTGTGTCCGTCTTACATCCAGGTTTGGCCGCGGTATATCAGTGAAGCATCCTCTGCGGGGTGTGTGTGTGCGTGTGCGTGTGTGTATTTTGCTTGTGTCATCATGACTATGCAGGTATTCATCAGTTTGGTTGTGAGCATGTTTGACTTCCTCTGGACTGGTGTGTCGGCTTTGTTGACTTCTAGTAGTTATTAGGAGCATTATTATTATTCTGTACTTATGATACGCTTATGATACGCTATGTACCCCAATCTCCATAATTTGTTAGTGTGTTCTCCTACAGCATTGCATTGTGGGAAAACAGCGTCCATCAACTACTTAAATAGCAAGCAAATACACCAGTATTGCTTATTAAGCTAAATCTCCCTCCCTTCACTTTGCTGCCTTCTCTGTCACTCCCCCCCCAACTTCCCTCTTCTCTCCTCACCTAAAACCCTCCCCTCTCCCGATTTCTGACCCCACCTAACCCCCACCCAACAGTGTGGAGTACACTCCCAGCTTCAATCCCACTGCTCTGAAAGACTCAGCCCTATCCACTCACAAGCCCATTGAGGTGAGGGGGCCGGGGGGGAAGGCCACCATTGTTCACGCTCAGTACAACACACCGATCAGCATGTACTCACAGGACGCCATCATGGACGCCATTGCAGGCCAGTCGCAGGCCAAAGGACACGAGAGGTGAGGACACACACTGATCCCCGGTGTGGCGCTTTCATGCTCTCACTCATACATCAATTGATTAAAATGGAGAAATGACAGGAAAAAAAATACTTTCTTACTCACTAGAAGTGGAATCCAACCATGCAGAAGGTCACGGGTTATTTATGCCAGCGTTTAGCGCCAGTTTTCTGCCTCACTACACAATACAATGGAGATGAAAGAGCAACTTTAGTTTTCGCCCTCACTGAATTCAATTATTACATATACGTTTTTTTTCCCCCGACACGGACAAGGCAGACATCCTGTTTGGGTAAATCAAATTTTTAAGACCCTCATTCTGAACAGACACAGCAGCTTTTTGACCACACAAGTTGACTTACTGCAGCGTAGATTTCCACTCTGTAATGTACGCCGGGGCCTTTCAACGTTGTCCATGTCCGTGCCACATACTCCTCCGTGCTTTTCACCCACTTTCCTCTGCTCATTCCATCCACCCCCAAAACAAATAAAAACCCACCACACCACTTGTGCTGTCCTCCTCCCATCCTTCCCTCCTGGTTGTGACCTCAGTGAGGAGGCGGGCTCACCTTTGGCGTAAGTACACCAGCGCACCTTTTCTATCCTGCCTCTCCTCATGCGCCTCTCCTTTGTCTCATAGTTTAAAGACAGCTTGTGCATTGCTCCATGTGCATCATAAACTAATATCCCTCAACTATTATAATATTAATGATTAGAATTAATACTATAATAAACAACGGTCCTGAAAAATGTGCAGCATCAACACGTCCATCGTAATGCGGTTTAATGTATTTTCTATGCGTCGACCGTGCTGTAAAAAGGTCAAACTCAGTAACCAAGAGGTAATTTTTATGTGTACTGTATCCGAAAGTACTGAGAGGTACTTTGGTCAAAGTGTGAGAGTGAAAAAAGTTGTTTGTGTCGTCCAATTTCATCACAGCCTCAGGAATCTGATGGGATTTGATGGCATGGGAATGTTCTGAGTATCCAATAAATGTCTACTGCTCAATCAGCATCGACTCACTATTCTAACACATTAAAGAATGCTAAAATTAAAAAACACTACTTTGTCACGTTGCTGTGCAAACTCACCTCAGTTTTTGCTTTAAACTACGGTACTTGGAGCTAAAGGAAGGACGCAAGTACAGAAAACTAGAAGTATGTGACTAATGAACAAAGTGTGCAAAGCAACAACAATGCAATCATTGAATGGAATAAATGCCCATGACTGAATACAATTCGGGAATCAGTGAAGCTTCGAACATTATAGATAATAAGATATTATCTTTTACCTTTAATATGGTGTAGTGCAGTAGGTTGTCATGTGACATTAACTCTACAACTCTACAACAAAATGTGGCATTAAACCCTGGAGAATTATTTAATACCAAAAGGGCACCGTGGTAAACCACAATGTGCCAGGAACCAGACCGAAGACAACCAGATAAAAGGATTAAAAGCAGCAGGTCGACTCCACATTTTTAAGAATTTCTTATTTTGAACTTGAAAAATGCACAGAAAGAAATCACAGGCCATTTTTATTTTATTCTTGGGGTGTGCTGTAATTTTATATTAGGTTACTGGCAATTGAAACTTTATTCATTTTAAGATTTTGAAACTGGGGAAAACGTTTTCAAGTGAATACCCTCTTCTATTGTCAAATTGAAAAAATAATAATAACTTGAACTAGTGGGAGGCGATTGCTTTTTTTTTGGGAGATCCCGTCCAGGTTTGAGGTAGAACAAATATTAAGACTCATGGCCTATTTTGACTGCTTCAACATCTACGCAGAAATAATAAATCACTGCGTGAGACGGGATCAACTTTACAGCTGTTCCTTGGCTCTAAACCTTGTTATCTGGTACTACATCATGGGCGTTCATTACATCATGATCATCTATTACACTTGAGGGGCTTGGAACACAGTCCGCGCCCCTCCCGGCTCTAACGGTGGGCTACTCTGTGCCCTGCAGTGGAGCTCTGCCTATCAAGGACCCCGTGGTAGACTGCGCCTCTCCGGTTTACCAGGCGGTGATCCGGCCCGGAGAGAACCAGGACATGTCTGACTGGGCTCGCCGCGCTGACACCCTTCAGTCCAAGAGCTTCAGGATGCTGGCCCACCTCACTGGCACCGAATACCGTCAGTACACGGACCCCTGCTCTCCTCCTTATTTTTTTCAGAATATCGTCTTTAGGTTTTTCGTCCTAACCAAATTCCTGTTATTTATTTCCACTGTTGCAGTGCAAGACCCAGACGAGGAAGCTCTGCAGAAGTCGAGGTAAGAACAACACGCAGAGACGGCCTACAGAAAGCCCCAGTAGACTGCTGGTCACTGGTAAATACTACGTGTCTTCTTCCACACCACTAGAGATAAGTTTGAGTCGGAGGTGAAAGGGCCCCGCTTCGCCAAGCTGAAGAACTGGCACCAAGGACTGTCCTCACAGATCCTCAACGTCCAGGAGTAGAGAAAGAGAGGAGGAGGAGGAGGACACGCAGAGGGAAACATGGACAAAAAGCGGAAGACGTAAACAATAAGAGGGGGATGAATTATGGAGGGATAGAAAAGCCACAGGGAGGAATGTGAGACAGTGTTGTTGTCTAGATCAGTACGTGAGATACTGTTAGCGTGAGAATGATATGTGTTCATAAGCTCAATATTATTTGCCAAATGCATCTGTCCGCTGCTAAGACCTGATCCGGCGTTTGGGGGTTTTCTTTCTTTTGTTTGTTTTCTGTTTTTTGGGTGGGGGGTTCTGTCTCTCTTAAATGAAAGGCAAATTGTACAAAAAATAATCAAGTAAAAATGCAGAAGTGGTGTTTTCTTTAGTACATAAAGCGCATTTACAAACGTAGGAATTCTAACACCAAGCATGCTTGTGAGAAGGCCCACAAGGACTAATGCACACATAGACGTTAACAAACAACAGAGTATGTAAAAAAGAAATGCACTCGAAAATGTACTTATATCAATGTGAATAAATGTTTTCTTAAAACCATACAGCTGAGTGAAATGAAATGAACTTGTCACTCTCCTTTTTGGGAATCTAAAAACTGCAGGCATGACGAATGGAGCCGTGATTGATCGAAATAGACCTTCAGTGATCGAAATAGACCTTCGGTGATTGGACGATTGGACATCATCCGAAGGGAAATTGTTGCTATTCACGAATAAAAGGATATTCTCAAAATTCAATATTCATAACTAGAGAACAATTTGTGTTTGTTTATATGTTAATATATGCAAAGAAGAAACCTGTTTTACTCATATTAACTCTATTAACTATATTAAAGTAATTGGATATTAACATTAACTCTTAATTGGAAACAGCAGAGACTAATACAATTAAATTGGAGTTATAACTTATAACACTGAGCATTGCCTTTGCTGTCTGGTGATCCAGTCCTCACTATGATACATGTATCATTATAATATACACATGCAGGCTAGGGTTGCATACAGTCTGACAGGTGGAGCAGGCCCTGAACTTTTAAATGAAACCTGCAAGTTAAATCAGTCTCCAGTAAACCAGGCTTTCTCTGGATGTCTGAGGTCCTCATCGTGTCTTTGTCTCCACAATCTCATGTTTCAGTCACTAACAAGAGCTTGTGCAAACTGCCGTGATTCACATTTAGATTATAAAATGTAATCAAACTTCTGCTTTCCATCTTGCATTTCGCCAGAGTTGTAATTAGACCTTGATTTAGAGACTATAAATCATCACACCCGCTGAGCAGTATGAAACTTTACCCACGTTGTGCTGTTGCACATACATGACCCAAAGGAGCCAGTGCACGTGGAGATACCTGCATGGAGCAAACCAGGAGATCACATGCAAATGTCAAAGGGAAAATAATTCTCATTGCATGTTGTATTACAAGCGCTGGGATGCAGAAATCCATCAATAAATATCTTGGAATACTGTAATCTTCTGATTACAGCATTTCAAATAGGCCAAGATTTAACCCAAGAGGAATCAAAAGACAAGCTCCCACCACATATAGACTTAATGCCCATAATCTGGCCTTTGAAACTGTTCGCTATTAGTTTCTAGAAGAAATGTATCCATTACTAAAATGCAGATAAATTTAAACAGTCAGAGCCCTCAGTCAGCTGTCCTGCTGTGTCATGATGTCATGAGTGTGTAGCCCACTAGAGGGCAGTGAGATTATGTACAGAAACACTCAAACCAGAAGACATCCTCCTTTCTATGAACGTCACTGTGCTAAATATATCCATTTACTCTACTTTATTTCATCAGATATCAGAATGGACCAAATTCAAGTAGAAATTGGAGGGTTGTGACAGCTTATATTTCGATTGTGTTACCAAATATTGTGCTCTAAAATATAAGTGTATGTACGTGTGATGAAACAAAAATGGAGTGATTGTCTATCCGCTAAATTTCTGTTCTGCTGAGTGGGCATGTCCGGGAGAAATATGATGTGGCGAGGGGGGCAAGTGTGACTCATTAGGGTGAAGATGACAATGCATTTTCTCTCCTCCTCACAAGAATAAAAAGGGCTGCATATATATATATATATATATATATATATATATATATATATATATATTAAAAAGGGCTGCATATATATCTTATATATATAGACAACAGAGTATGTAAAAAAGAAATATAAATATATATATATAGGAAGTAATCCTATTGGGGGTCTAGCTGCGTGATTACAGATTACATGATGAAATCTCGCAAGGCATATGATTTGAAAAATCCTGGTGACGCTTTGCTGGTTATGTAACAGCACCCGACCTCATCGTCTAGAAAAGGTGTGTCCGGGGAAATCTGCCAATCAAAATACACAAACGGCAAGCCGGAGGCTGCGCTGAGCATGACTAAGAATCCTCCGGAGAAAGATGGATGACAGGCGGAGGTGTGGCTGAACCGCGGGCTTGCAGCATGACTTGAAAATGCTGCAGCATCCGGCCGTCCCTCCTCCTCCTCCTCTTCCTCCCTCTCCTCCTCCTCTTCCTCCTCTCTCCATCTTGTGCGTACCGGCTGTTTCCTCCCCCCTCTTTCTCCCAGTCTGCGTGCTGTAGTCCTGCCGTGCAGTCCTCTCAGACCTCTGTTGTAGCACCAAAGGGAGGAGGAGCCACCAGCACACAAACACACACACACGCACACACGCATACTGCCACAGACACACACGCTCACTCCCGTCATCTCTTCTGCACGCTCGCTGTAATCACCAGACAGGCCCGTTTGGAGCAAGGGAGCCCAGCCGTCTCGTTGCCAAGGATGGATGTATTTATGAAGGGGTTCTCCATGGCCAAGGAGGGTGTGGTGGCCGCTGCAGAGAAGACCAAAGCCGGCATGGAGGAGGCAGCAGCTAAGACCAAGGAAGGGGTGATGTATGTAGGTACGTAGCACATCGTGTCTGCAGAGCTGCACCGGGTTGTATTAAAAAAACGAAAGTAGGTAAGTTTGGGAGCAATGACCCCATTTGTGTGTGTGTGTGTGTGTGTGTGTGTGTGTGTGTGAGTGTGTTTGTGTGGTAGCACCGTGAGTTTTTGCACCGTTGCAGGGGGGTCCCATGGGTGTCCATGTCTGGGACACTTCTGAGGAGCGACAAGAACAGAGGGAGGTGAAGAAGGAGGGAAGAAGGAGGGGACGGAGAGAGCACTGGCGAGATACTGCTGCAGGACTGGTGCAGGGCAGAGGGTGGGGGTCTGAACGATTGAAGGATAGATGAGGTGAGGAGGGGTAGTTAGATGGAGATTGAAGTTTTAATCACGTAGCAGTACAGTAGCTGCAGGAGAATCGGTCTTCAGTGTTTTCGGAGAAATAAGAATAATTGAAATAGGAGAGGAGCGGAAAGATGCATTCTGCAGGATCTCTTGATTGCAACACCTCAAGCTTTTGTCATTTGCCCAATTTCCTCCACATTGAATGGTTTGTGGAGCCGTTTGCAGAAAGACAGGACAGGATTTACTCGATGTCCACAGAGTCCACAGGGATTCAATTTACAGAATAGTTGCCCTGCATGTGCTAGGCTGCATGCCTTTTTTAAAGGTATAACCATGGGTAACAAAATATAAACGTGTGAAGTCGCATTTAACGATGCAAGTACATGAGAACGGACACAGATAAAAAATGTGGAAAAGCTTCCAGTTGCTTTATGGTCAAGCTACGTTTTCCTGTTCTCCTCCGTTAGCTCAAGCAGCAAATGCGTCACATCTCAAGGTTACCTCGAGTGCCAGGCTTTTAGGCCGCCAGGAAGGGGAGGGGCCTTCTGATAGTAGGAGGATGGTCGAGGACTTGTCACAGTGGAATTCTTTGTCGTCGCCTGCAGTCGGATGCTTTCGTCACACGGCGGCTTCAAAAAAATCCTGGTGATGATGATGATGAATGAGAAGAAGAAAAGAAATGCGATGGCATGAATGCAGGAGTCAACGTCCCGAGCTGAGAGTCGTGAGGAAGGTGAAGAAGAGAGGGCAAGGATCACTTGAGCACTGCAGCAATTTACTCTCCCAGCACACCCTCCGACCTCAGCCCACGCTCGCGCTGGAGAACGCGCGTGCGTGTGTGTGTGTGTGTGTGTGTGTGTGTGCGCGCGTTTGTGGCGTTGCAGCAGCAGGATTTGCCTGCCAGTGTGGGCTGCTTTGATGACTAACCACCCCCCCCCACCCCCCCACTCCCCCCAACAGCTCTTAAAACAACCAACCCATCCCGGGGGAAAGATGGAGGGATGCAGGAGGAGAGAAAAAAAAAACGGAGAGAGGAAGGACGCGTGTTATGTCAGAAAAAAGCTCTGAGCTTCTAGTCTCGTGGCTCCTGAATGAACAGATGGTTGGCTGAAAGAGAGAGAGAGTCAGTTGACACCCGGGGACGGAGGGAGGGTGGAGATGGAGGGACTACAGTCACTTGAAATGAAAAGCTGGACGTTCCAGAAGGTACAGGTTGGTGACGAGCCCGGCGAAAAAGTAACATGGCGGAAAATGACACGCAGACCCCAGAGGGGGAGGGAGGCAGAGGGTGAGGGGATGTGATCACTGAGGTGAGGAGGGTCGATGGTGGCAATAAACCTCCCTAACTGCCCGCTGCACAGTGAATACATCAGAGCGTAAAGAGTATCAATGTGTGCACGTCCGCTTTCACAAACAGGCCAGAGCTTTTTATTTAAGGCCTTAATGAGTGTCAAACAGCATGTTAAATGTCGGTGTGCTCCTGGGACGTCCTTCGCCTACATATCTTATTCTACAGGCTTAAGAAAAGACTTGTTGTTTCAGGTCACATATCATTTTGATATGTTTTCAATAAAAATTACAATAATGATGTAAACGTTATAATTCCCTTTTTGTATTTTTATTCATATTGCAAATATAGTATCATTCAAAACACCAACAAAAAGTTTTTTTTTTTTTTTACATAGTTCATCCTAGTTTCATACATTCATAGCATTAATGGTTATATTCTTCATATCGTGGGCATTTATAACCTATGGTTGGTTGTTCGAATCACTGTTAATTTCCATATTCTCAGTCAGATTAATAATCAGATTTGTCTTTTCAGAACTCGTCAATAAAACAAATTCAAAGTGCTGATTTTCTGCACTTGCACTGACATTTTCTGATAATTTGGTCCTATAATTGCCTTTGCATCCCTTACTTGTTATAATGAATGTGATATTTTTGTCTTTGTACACCTTACCTTGCATAGCTTTCTTTTTTACTTTTACATTGCTACAAACAGATTCCAAAATATCACCATTATGAGGATTTGTCATTAAATCTGAGACTTGTTTGAGCATTCATCTCATGAAGCCTGCCAAAGCACAAATCCTCATCTGGAGAGAAAAAGACACTTATGCCGTACAGTTGCACATTATTTAATAAGAGGAAATGCTCTAATCCGTGCAATTTTAATTTGTTGAGAGAAGCTGTCGATCAGGATTGCTATTTACTTTCAGGTTGCTATTTTCAGCAGTGACCTGTGCATCGCCCGGGGAGTTGCACATGCTCCCGTCCAGACCTTTTTGCATTATTTCATTTGGGGGGTGCAGCCCGTTCGCTGTGCCGTGGGCAGAGCGATACTCACAGTGACACTCAGGAGGTGGCTCCCTCTGTTGTCTGGGAGAAAGGAGCTGTGTCATTGCAGCGTGCGTGTGCGTGTGTCACTGTACTGCAGTACTGCTCAGTACTCCGGCACGTGGCTCATGAAGCACAGGGAGCGTGCAGAGAGATGGAGGGGGGGGGAAACGGGAGACGGGGGCGGGTGCAGGATCCTTTAAATGGCAGCATCCGTGTAAAAGGGGGGAACAGGTTCTGTGCGCGACATTGACGCATTCTGCAAATTCTGAATTTCTTCCCCCTTAGTTTCAACCTTCCTACCATTTTTTTCGTCCATCTCTCCGAGCAGATATTCCCCTCCGTGTATCCCTCACTCTGCCAGATTATATAACCACAAACTAATCTGCTCGGGATCATACTATAATGAGTACTGAGGAAAATGCAGAGAGGTGCCGCTGTTTATAGATTGTTTCCCGGTTCCTATAGATCTTCTAAATACTAGTTTTAAGGTTAAAAGGATAAGGTAACAGAATATTCAATATTCCAGGCAGACAAAACCAGGGGGATGCATCATTCATTCTAAAAGCACACCTTTGAAATGTATTTTTAGAACGAGCAACAGATACTGCTAACCCTCAACTCAATATGTCTCGGAGGGCAAAAGCAGCTAGAAAATGTCTCTAAAAGGCACAGATAAATATGCACTACGGCTATGTTGTCTCTATGCCTTCTGGCAATTAAACTGTTTAAAAATAAATATGAAAGAATGTGTTTATTGAAGTAAAATAACTTAACTGAAGAAACATTTTACATTGATGTTAGGACTTCGCCGCTTCTAAGGGGATATGCCATTTTGTTTAATGCTGTAATTATGGTCTTTGGTAAAAATGTCGGTTAAAATAATAATTTTGTTCTCACTTATTTGGTTAATTAAGTTTCACGGATTGATTTATTCATGCATATCCATAAATCTAATTAAACCAAACTATAAACTAAAAATGCAACATGCCTGCTATGTGAAAGCTACTAAAAATTGTTGGGATTATGTCATATTTCTTCAATAGGAAACGTGCATGAATTTGATTGGGATCTCTGTTTTTTCCTCAGGCAGTAAGACAAAGGAGGGAGTTGTGTCTTCAGTAAACACAGGTAAGAGCCCCTGTTTGTGACCTCACCTTCTAAAAGTGAGCATATGTTAATTAAAAAACTCTTTTTGCGTTGCATTTCCGTTGCCTTAATAGTTTTGGTAATGGGTCCCTTCTTGCCCCCTCGCGGCTGGAGACAAACACCTTTACTTTTACTCCTTACTTGGTTTGATTTGGGTCTGTCTCCGTTTCACTCGCCCTGCTCCGCTTTGCCTCCCAGTGGCCAACAGGACCGTGGACCAGGCCAACATCGTGGGAGACACAGCGGTTGCCGGTGCTAATGAAGTGTCCCAGGCGGCCGTGGAGGGGGTCGAGAATGTCGCCGCGTCGACCGGGATGGTGAACCAGGTCAGTTACCGCGGGAACGAATACACCAGCGCTTCTTTACGTAAACATAAACAACTAAATTCTGCCTGAAATCGATATTGATTAAATTATTGATTTTGAATAGGCAGTGGTTGTCAGCCACTAGAAAGAGCTGTGTCGCCATCGGAAATACAAAGGTCTGCGTGTCAGAAAGTGTGAAATATTCCTTGACATAAAGCAGAGAAAAGCAGTAAATACTCACAAAACTAATGTTGCTACAGCTCCTACTTCAGCCAACATATGGATATATATGCAACCTTCCCCAACCTCGGTTACTCGTAGCAGCCTGTGGACTGATTTATATATTAATGGCTCGTGATAGTTTTTCCTAGAAAACCATCATTGGTATTTTTACAGTGTGTTCATTTAAATAAATTATGTAACGGTACAAAGCGAAAGGGATGCAAAGCAACTCACTGACTTTAACCTGCATGACACGGATCTGACCGTGTTGCTTAGTAACACTAGTGGTTAAAGTCATTTATTTACACTGGAATCATTTATGTTGCCTACTGTTTTCAACTAGATCTCATGTCAAAATATACTGTCTCCATTAAAGCTGAAATCAACTGAACAACCTTGTTCATGAATATTCAAACCTTCTTTTGAAAAATATTTACTTTACTTGTGGCCATCAATGTTTTGTTGTCAAACCTATTTGTAAGATGTTAGATGGACGTCTACCTTTTTTTCAGTGTTTTTGTGTCACACTGCAGCACTGCTTCTGTCCTGTGTGTTCTGGATCGCTGTTGTTCTCACCTCTTGTTGTTTGTGTCGTGTCTCGTCTGTTTTCCCCTGATAGGAGGAGCCTGTATACGAGGTGCTTATTAGACAGAGCAGTGTGGGGTCATAGGTCATGCTACATGCACCAAGTTGACAGTTTATTATGTACGCCTGTACAATTTAATCCAACAAACCTGCAATAAATCTTTACGGTTGGATTTACTTCAGGAGAGTTTTTTTCTGGATTACATTAACTGGCAATATGGCAATAATCTGGTAACTTGGTGTGTATAAGACAACAAACCCTAACAGACTGTGAGCGTCAGAAGGGAAAAGTAGAAACTGTTGTGATGCTTCCCAAATAAGTATGGACAAATCCCTGCAGCACATCAGTCTTTGAATACGATCTTATTTTGATTGTTTAAAACAGCATAAAAGCACAAGATGTCGTTGCAATTTTCAAAAAAAAGAAGTAGGGAATTGCTCACAGATATTTTCCTCTGACCTTTCAGGCGCTCATTTGATTATGTGGGTTAGAGGACCATGATACTAATACTTCATTTATTAACCCCGTAGCTCCTTGTTGTAGCGTGAAGCCACATCTCCAGCACGTCAGACAAGCCACAGCCAGCGAATATATATTCATGGCATGCAGCAAAAAAGCTTCATGCACTGCTCAGGCCCTTATATGCCGTAAAGCTCTGATTAACTAACTGAACCCCCTGAGAAGTCTGAAGCATGTTAATACAAGTTGGGTGAACCCTTCAGCATGGGCTTTGCTCTCTTAACCGCTTTATTATATCATAACTGCAGGGAAACGACAGCTAGGAGACCAGCAGTTGTTTTTCTCACTCTTCCTGTTTCCTTTTGCAGGGAGAATATGGGGGGATGGAGCAGGGTGGAGAAGGAGGAGAGGTGAGACAAAAGTTCTACTGGGATTAAGTCTGACCAGAGGAATTAGTTCAGTCAAATCAATTTATGTGTGACACCTTTGGCTGCAATTGATAAATAGTTCAGTTTCAAATGGGCATAATAGTAACTTATTAAAGATGGATTGATTTACTTTGCTTTACTAATTTATATAGAGCATGTATTTTCCCAGAAAGAATCCTCCTTTTTAAATCTATTTTATCCCTTTAACTGTAAAGTGCAGAAGGAATATCCCAAACTGTTTCAGTTGATCTCAAACCACTAACCACATTAACAAAAGACATTTTAAAAAATGTAATGCAAAATGTTATTACTAGTACTTTCTTAGTGGAGCAAGTACCCTGATATTGTATTTGATGCAGGACTTTCCTCCACTGCTCACAATAAGTAAAGAATGATCTGTGGACTGTCTGTTTATAACAGTGAGGTATTGCTACTTGATTAAAGGATCTAAATACATCCTCAACCACTGACATCCTCCTCCTCCTCCTTCCTTCCTCTCTTTCAGGGGTACTAGTCGTCTGCAGGACCTTCCCTCCCGTGCTCTTCGGTGTCCCTTCGCTCCCCTCGCCTCGCTGTACCAGACTTCAGATGTTCTTATTTTTTTGTGACTTTACAGAAGGAAAATCAACTAAAAGGGACACTACCGGATACCGCACCTATGCCCCCGTGTCTCCCCGTGTGATCTCCGTGATGCCTCTCCCCCAGCAGCTCTCTGCCACCTGTCCTCACGCCGTCTCCTCCCCTTTGATTTCCTGCAGCTTGTAGCTTTTCCTCCACTGCCCGTCGTACCCTTGCCTCACCTGTGTGTTAGTGTCCACCTGATATGAAGCCTGGTGTTGTTACAGCCCCTACGGCCACCAACCGATGGGGAAACCTCGCACGCAAACACACACGTACAAAAAAAGACACCTTCATTCAACACGTGCATGGAACACGCATACAGTACATACCGCAAATGCACAGATGCACACCCTGGGGCAAACGTGTTAACTGTAGGACCTGGTTGCATAAATACAGGTTTGCCTCTGCAGTCCATGACAATGACAAGTGACTGAGGCAGGACATGAGAGGTTGTGTGATCTGCTTTTTGTGTGCTTGTGTGTTAATGTTAGCTTATACATGTGTGTGTGGTGTGTGCATGTGTCTCCAGAGGCTTGTACAAGGAATCGTGCATTGAGGACAGATATGTGTCTGTTTTGTGTGCAGTAGTTAGTAAGCTGCAGTAGACCGCATGAACAGATGTGTAGGATGACTCGTCGTGTGTTGTAACTATAGACTAGCAGTTGTTCTGTGTAGCTTTGTATGGCTTAGTGTGTGTTTGGCCTCGACGTTTAGAAGCAGGGTCAATAACCAGGAAGCAATACTCAGTGCTCGTTTCTCCTCAGCTGTTGGAGCAGAAGCTTGGGTTTTGTTTGTGTTGCATGAGAAAACAAGTGCAGTTGTTACACAATCTGGATCTATTATGTTAAAGGTCTGTGGCTGAATTAAAGGGAGACACTATTATATTATACCAGATTTTGATTCTGAAATTCGCATTAAAGGGGGAGATGTCAGTGATTCCCCCAAACCAGTGTTGCTCCAACTTTTTTTGGTTTGGTTTTGTCATTCAAAACACATACTGAATTCCTGGTGAAATTACCTAAACGTCTTTCAATACATCAAATAGCTTTAATGACGAGTTAAAAATAGATACAGAAAATATGACCATTATTTTCAAATAGTAAGCTACCACAGAAATGTAAATTAAAAGAGAAACCTGAAAAACCTTTTCAGTGACTTCAGTGAGCAACCGATCACCTCTTGTTGTTGTGTAGTTGCTTTTTGGTCTTTGTGCGCTGGTTTGCATGCCATCAGGAGAAACAGAGCAGTGTGGAAATGAGTCTCTTTGTTATTACAATTTCTGTGATAAATAGCATTGATTCGGTTGGGGAACGAGTATACTGAGAGAACGAAGGTTTGGCTTTTTAATCAAGTATTACCTTTATGTGTAGTTCTGTGTGTAAATTATGGGATGTGTACTTGTTTTAAGGGTAGGGGTTTCATATTATTATGAAATTATTATATTTCGGAACTGGTCTGAACTTTGGCTGCTGTGAGCGTCCCGACCATCAACCGTCTCGGCCAATCAGAGGATTCCATTCTCCCCTCACGCCACCTTTCACTGCTCATCTGCCCGGCATCAATGTGTGTGTCTGTATGTACTGTATGTGTGTTGATGTGTTGTGTTCAGCCAGCAAAGCGTGTGCGTGTTTGTTCTGGAGCAGGTTTGTGTGTTTTTACTTTGAGGCCAACTGATGAAACTGATGACTGCATGTTGCCTTATGAAGCAATCTGACATTCACATACATGGTCAGGCTCCCACGAAGACTACACAGTGCACAACACCTACCAACACACACACATCACACTCTAAATAACACGCAATCCCAAATACACAAATCACATACAATGTTTAAGTTGGCATCAAAGCAGATTCGCTGATTTTATAAACAGTACCAGTGAAATTAAAAAGGTTTTGTTGAAATCCACCAACTTTGTCAAGAATTTATTTCAAGGTGTGGTGGGCTGGGTGTTGAGTTCTGATGTCCCTGAGGGCCAGATTATCCGGGGCCACAAGGAGTTGTGGATACATACTGAATTTATTTGTTACCAAGATTTAAAATTCGAAGTTCAATAGCTGTTTCATGTCTCTGTACTGAGCATGCCGATAAGACTGAGCCAAACTAGAAGAAAAACAACAATATTCAAACAGCCCTGAGCTCAAACATGCAGCTACCAGCATCCCTCCAACTCAGATGGAAAAAATATAGTTTGATTTGTACAGAAATGTAAACAAAATTACTATCATATGTTGAAAAATGTCATAAAATAGTTATATTGTAATTTCACAATATGTTGTAAAACTGATTGAAAAAGACTCAAAGAATGGTAAGTTGAGAAAAGTGAAAATGAATTTCATAGGATGTTGGCTATTTATTACAATATAGCGCCCTGTAAAAAACTGGGAAATATTGCAAGTGTGTAAAAATAAGTGCAGAAATTCATAGTGTAACTTATATATATGAAATCTGAACAGCTGGATTATAGCTGTGGGCTCCAAATGAGTGCACCTGGATCAAAGCAGTTGCTTTATTGATACATGTAGGGGGCGCTAAGAAAGATGTTTCCAATTGTGTGATGAGATCTGTGAGTTGATGGAAAGAAAAGTGAAAGGCAAAACAGAGCTCCCAAATAAAAGGTTTCTGTGTGACATGACGAGCCACCTGAATGCGCTCAGCCTGCGGGGCCGTGTCATCATGGCATGAGCGCCTCAGTGAGGGCTTTTTAAACCAAGCTGCGGCTGTGGCAGACGCAGATGCTGCACAAAAACGAAAGCCATTTTCCGCACTGCCAAACAATGAAAGAGCAGGTCGCCGCCTTCCCAACTGCACAGTTTGCTGAAAAACCCAACATACTTGTGCTGACTCCACGCTGCGATTTGTCCGTATTTAAAAAAATATATTTGTAGAAAATAGAAAAGCGTGTAGAAAATGTTTTTACTTGAAATTACTCTGAAAAAACTGCAGATATAGAGCCATAAACAATTAATGCAACTGACTTTGTTACTTTTATGTATTATTTTGATTGATTTATTGCTAGTTCCAGGTTCAATATGTGCACTGAGGTTCTTTCAATTTTCAAGTTTTCAATAAATCTTTAACCTGTCTAGCTCTTGACTTTCGGCACACTGTGTATTTGAGTTTGACAACCGGGCATCAGAGCATTCACAATGAAAAGGGGTTACGCTTTTAATTTGATTTGAGAATGTTAGGACACTCCTCCAACACCCTTTGTTTGATGGTAGGAATGTCCTCGCATGCTGGAGAAAGAATCTTTTTACAGAAACACTCACAAATCCAGTGTACTATTGCCGGGGGTTCAAGTATCATGTTGCCTCTGTTTATCGAGACAGAGATCACTAAACGTGTTCAGCATTTCCAGTATAACCTGCTGCGTAGCTTTAAGGGTGATAAAATGCAGAGCACGGTGACATCATACGCAGGTATCGAGTGGAGGGAAAGCCGTACAAGTTATTATCCCCAAAGAATATTAGGGAGTACGCTACATAAATATGTGTTTAAATTAACCTAATGTGAGAACTCTGTTGATACAGAGTGTTTGTAACCCCGTCTAAGAACTAATCCATAAATATGGATTATGGATAAAGATCCTCTCAGTGTCAGAGTGAAAGCATAATATCTTTCGAGTCAAACTGCCATTCTTGTCAACGGAAGAATCATAATTTAAAAATTTATGCATTTTTGTGTGTGTGAGCAAGTTACTTACAGCGACTCTGGCCTGGAAGTCAGCGGTAGGTACGACAGGTATGGGCCCACCCTGCTTACCAAACTTCCTCTCTAAACTTTCCTGCACAGACACTAGAAAAAGATATTTAGTTTGTACTTCTGTATTTTAGGGACACGGGGTGTAAAAAAATGCAATGATAATTTGCATCTGCATTCTTGAGAACAAAAACATTGGACGAATAAGCACTAGTGAGGACACACCCATTGGATGTCTCACACAAACATACAAGGTAAGAAATGACACTGCTGTCTGATTGGCGCCACGTGAACAAGGCAGAGAGTATAAATAAAGATGGAAAGAAGTTGGCGACAAGATCTTTTCTCTTGGAAAGAGACGTCAGCTGACTTTGAACATCACCGACGCCGCAGATCCAGTAAGAAATCATCTTTTTGAACTTTGAAATTTTAGTCTCATCTTTATTGTAAATGAAAGAATGCTCATGTCTTGTTGGATGAAAGATCATTTGTCAGCAATTAAAACATCCAACAGGAAAGGATTAAAAACGGTACTACAGAATTTAAGTTTTACAAAACAAGTGTTTACAATTTACAAGGTTTGTCAAAACTTTTTAAAATGTCAAAGCATGTCGAAAGTAATGGTGGTCATAAAATAAAATGGCGAAAAAGTCTAATGGTGTAGTACATAGGTAACATTTAGAAGAGTTATGACCAATTTGTTATAAAATTTTAAATTATTTGGCAGGGGCAGTGTCTCATAACAATTGAGAAAAAAACTACAATACAATATTGTATATCAAACAAAGTGATTAGTCATATTAAGTCGAAAAGCGTTATGAAAAGTAATATTTCATGAATACATTTAAATGTGCATTAAAAATGTAATTACAATGGATGAATTTAAAAATAAGTATATTATTAAAATGGTCATAATGGGGAAGCCCTGAAAACGACAAAACATTTTTCATACTGTAGTCCGTCAAAATAAATGATGCAACACTGCATGTTTTTCGGAACATTTTATTGGTTTTTCAAAAAATAAAATAAAAAGTAATTTCCTCCAAAAAAAAAAAAAAAGTGTCAATGTTGAAGAACTGGACGGACGAGACGGAGAACATGTCTACCAAGGGACGGGCGATCACATGACAACTCACGCCTCCCTGCTCCTCCTTCATGGCCAGCGGAGGAGTTTGGGGAGAAGCAGCTTTTAGTATTATGCGCAAAGGGAAAGCAGGAAAAGTATTATAATCTCTAACCATGGCTACTTCACTACTACCCACTGCTCCTGAAGAGTTTGATGACTAACTCAAAATCACTATTTTATTCACAAAAAGTTAACGCAAACACCCTTTTAATGAATGTTCAATTTATTTGGCCATGTCCCTTTTAGAAAAGACCCTTTTCCTGAATTAAGGCATCTGTAGTGCTATCGAACTGAAACAAATCGCAGCAGGAAGGTTGCGGCTGTATTCAGAGATCACACAATGGGCGCTCTGAACATGGCTGCCATACAACAACATCATTAATGTTTATGAGGGCTGCGGGAGAGACGAGAAGTTACTCTGTCCATATAACCTCAGGCAAAACAGGGCAACATTTTAAACAGAAAAGCAGATCTGGTATAACGACAGCACAAAGATCACAGGAGAAATACTAGGCGATGTTTTGCAGTGTGTGTGTGTGTGTGTGGTAAACAGTGATATGTTCTGAAGGCTGTTTAGAGGGTGGAAGAGGCAGGAAAGGGTGATCAATAGCAGGAGGGAGAGGAATCGTGGGTCGCCATTGGCCATTTATGTGAAGGTCAGCCCCGCCTCGTTGTAGACTTTGAAGACCTTCTCGATTGCGTTGACATAAGCGGCCGTCCGAAGGTCCAAGCCCAGGTTGTACTTCGTTGCTGTGCGCATGATTTGCTAGAAAGAAGGAATCACATTTAATGTTTTCCAAAAGCAATTCTAATAACTTGTGTCTCCACCTGTTTGAGAGAGCAGCACAAGTACAATTTAAACCAAGGTCCATCAGGGATGGTTGTTGCCTTTGTAAATTACAAAGAATACCGGAATTCATTTTTGGGCATTTAAAATAACATTTGTCAGTATTTGTTTTTATCATAAAACACCAATTTTGAGCAAAGTGCAGGTTGCGTGTTTCTTCTCAGTGCGTTAGATTAGATAATATGTTGACTGCTCACTACAAACATGTATGATCACTTACCCGGGCAGACCTCTCCATGGTGTAGGCCAAACCAGAGTGAACGATATCCTTCTCAGAGGCACCCTGCCAACAAAGTTTATAGAATTACGAACAGAATAATGAATAGCAAAAATTGGCAGAGTTGCATTTAACATTTAGAACATTGTTTTGTAAATTCAATTCTGACTAAATGAATTAATTGTCAACACAACTTTGCTCTGGTAACTAGCTGGGGGCATTTGTGATAGTTTTCGCAGCAGAGCAATCACAATGAAAAGGCTTTTAATTTGATTTGAGAGTGTTTGAGACACTCTTACACCCTTTGTTTGATTGTAGGAATGTTCAAACTGGAGAAACACAAAAAACACTCCCAAATCCAGTGTAGTATAGCCTCGGTTTATCCAGGCACAGCTCTCGAGACGTGTTCAGCATTTCCAGTATAACCTGCTGCGTAGCTTTAAGGGTGATAAAATGCCGAGCACTGTGACATCATACGCAGGTATCAAGTGGAGGGAAAGCTGTACAAGTTATTATCCCCACAAAATATTAAGCAGTACGCTACATGAAGATTAAAAATGTGAAAGAAAGAAGTGTTTGAATTAACTTAATGTGAGAACTCTGTCGATTAAGAGAGTTTGAAACCCCATCTAAGAACTATCCATAAATATGGTTGACTGGAGTGGATGAGAGCATTATGAAAGCATAATATAGTTAGAGTCAACGGAAAAATCATAATTTAAATTTATGCATTTTTGTGTGTGTGAGCAAGTTACTTACAGCGACTCTGGCCTGGAAGTCAGCGGTAGGTACGACAGGTATGGGCCCACCCTGCTTACCAAACTTCCTCTCTAAACTTTCCTGCACAGACACTAGAAAAAAATAAGATATTTAGTTTGTACTTCTGTATTTAGTATAAAAAAAAAAGATGGAAAGAAGTTGGCGACAAGATCTTTTCTTGTCTTAAGAAGTCTGTCTTTTTTTGACAGAGACATCAGCTGACTTTGAACATCACCGACGCCGCAGATCCAGTAAGAAAATCATCTTTTTATTGTAAACGAAAAATAATCTTGCATCGAACAAGACATGAGCATTCTGTCAGCAATTAAAACATCCAACAGGAAAGGATTAAATAAATGTACTACAGAATTTAGGTTTTACAAAACAAGTGTTCGTAAAAAAAACCCATTTCAGTAACCACGTGTGCTGCAGAGAAAGAAGAGTTAAACATTTTCAACTTGTCCCTCTAAGAAGCAGCTGCAGAGCTTCCCTCATCCCACTAAGAAACCCGGAGCATCGCAAAGCAAAAGAGAAATAGAAGGTATAACATCAAAGCCATTCTAATACGTTGTGTCATTTATCAGCAGTATGATTTTTTTTTTAAATGTTTCCCTTTTTCTCTCAACTATAGATGGCCGCTCGTAGATTTGAATATCCTGACGGGGTTCAAACAGCAGGACAAAGAAGAAAGTTTAGAAAAAAAGAACTGAATGAACATAAAGACGTGCTCTATTATAACGAATATAGAACTACTAAGAGAGCAAGCTTGGTTTTCCGCAGCGACGATGAGGACGGATGGATGGCTGTAATAATGGAGTGGGATCCAAATCTTACTCGACATGAACAGAGTACAAAAAAAAGCCCAATCCGACTTAAGGGGAAGTTTACAACCGTATGTTTTTATCCGCCAACATTATTTCTGGTATATAGCAAACAAGAACAAGATATGTTAGAGTGGTTTGAGAAAAACTTTGAAAGAATGCAGATGGCGCGCTGTTTAAAGTTACCCGAGATTGCAGATTAGATATTTAATGAAGAGGACACTCATCCTACAATTTAGTTTCATGAATAGGTAACTGGGATGTGAACTATATTACATATTTGTCATTTCCCCTTTCTGATGTTTATATATTGGTTTAGAATTGTGCCTCCAAAATAACAGGTTCACGCGTGTGCTTGTTAGAGGAAGTAGGGAGCCGTATTGTACTCACTGAGGAGGTGGTAGTTTGAGTCCCTCTCATATTTGAAGGTCAGTCTTCCGTAGCTGACATGGTTGAGATTCTTCAGCCACTCAAAATAAGACACCGTCACACCGCCGGCGTTCAGGTACATGTCCTGCAGGATAAAACATCACAGTCATCTAATGATCTTCACTCCAGTGTTGAAATATTTTGTCCCGTATTGTTTATTTTAAGATTTGGGATAAAAACGTATTTCTCTGTTAAATAAAAAAAAGACCATGATGTAACACTTGTTTTGGTTTTGACTATGCTCCATGAGGACTGGATGAATGTGGTTTGAAAAAAAAAAAATAATAAAAAAAAGAGGGGGGGTGTAAATAATGGTTTATTTAACTTTGGTAAAGAAGCTTGTATTTTCATGTTGGAATGATTACCTAGAATTTGATGGTCTTATTTACTTTAAAGCAAATTGCAGTTTTGTTATTGAATCAAACCTCTGGTTTGTTTTAAAATTTCAGAAACAAGTTTTTTCACTTTAGCAGACCCAAAAGGAAACCGGAGTAATAAATACATAATTAAAAAAAAAATCTTTCTTCAAATCAGTTCCATATCTATAGGACAGTGAACACGGAGTTGCCAAAGTTAACGCCCACTTTGACCGCTAGGAACCTCGGCCTCCTTGACTCCCAACATCACTGCGACAACACGATCCTGTACAACACGCTCTACAACAGCTTTTCACTCAGAAGGCTGCCCAGGTACTGATTCAGGCTGTTGTCATCTCCCGCCTGGACTAATGCAACTCCCTCCTGGCTGGTCTCCCTGCTACCGCAATTCGACCTCTGCAGCTCATCCAGAATGCAGCAGCTCGACTGGTCTTTAACCTTCCGAAATTCTCCCACACTACTCCAACCCGACCCGCACTCTCCGCTCTGCATCTGACAAACTGCTCGTCCCTCCCTCACTGAGAGCAAAACACTCGACTAGATCACGAGTCTTTGCCGTCCTTGATCTGAAATGGTGGAATGAGCTCTTTGATGACATCAGGACCGCAGAGAGCCTTCACATCTTCCGCCGCAAACTAAAGACACACCTCTTCACTCTACATCCACTAAAAGACTAACAAATTGTAGCACTTATAACGCCACTCATCTACAGCAAATTGTCTTATTTAATGAAATTGCACTTTGTTTCTTGCTCTTCTAGGTTTGTATCCCTGTGGTTGAAATGCACTTATTGCAAGTCAGTTTGGATAAAAGCGTCAGCTAAATGACATGTAATAATGTATGTATATATGAATGTGTTTCCAATGTTGTAGTTTGCGTTTCTGTCCGCTCACAGGAATAACCATGACATTGTTCTCCAGGAAGATCTTGTCAGCATCTGGAGTGGTGGGTCCATTGGCGCCTTCAGCAATGATCTGAAAGAGGAAAAAAATAAAAATAAAAACTTGCACCACACTTCACAACTCATGTGACCTAAAGCACTTTGGTTTAATCAAAGTGAGTGTTTACCTTGGCCTTGATCCTGGGGGCGTTGACACGCGTGAGCTGCTTTTCTCCGGCAGCGGGGATCAGGATGTGACAGTCTGCCTCCAAGATGTTCCCTTCGTAGGGTTTGGCTCCTGGGAAGCCCACAATTGTGCCGTGTTGCTACAGAAAGGGAAGGAACGCATGAGTTGGAAGAAAAAGGTTAAGGTGGACTATTGGGGAGAAAATAAATTATAGAAGGAAGGAGACAGAAGTGAGGGAGAGGCAGATGTGCTCGCACCAGTTTGTAGTCCTCCAGCTGTTTGGGGTCGATGCCCTCTGCGTTGTAAATGGCTCCATCAATCTCACCGATCCCGACACACTTTGCCCCAAACCTGTGCAGGTACCTCATGGAATGGAGACCCACATTACCAAAGCCCTGTGAAAAGTTACCAAGAATAAAGAAATATTCACAACTGTTCAAAATAACTACAAAATTGGCTTTTTATAAAATCATTATCCGTAGTAAACATGATTCAATTCCAAACACTGGCGCCACCATGTGGCCGGTTAAGTTATAACAGCTTCATCGTGATTTAACAGGAAATGGGCCCAGAGGAACAGAAGATCTGCCGCCTGAGACTCGTTATTCTGTTGCCTGTATACAACCTATGACGCATCACGAGGAAAGTGGTCCGAGTTGAAGGAAAACTACCCTTCAAAACTATGAATCAACGTTACTTCAGCATGCGACTCAGTGTCCAGCTACCTGAGAATAAATAATAGCAACCCATTTATGATGAGGGAAAATAACATCTGCACGAGACACATCTGGTTTCATCTCATTGCATGAACCGTTTTGTATACACAATACTAGCTCAAATTTAACAGAACTCCAGGGGGCTGATTTTTTCTAAATTGAGTAATAAAAACATGAGCACTTCATCATCTTGATACCACACTAGATTCTCTCTCCTCCCTCACCAATACATCTAAGAAAATCCAATCACAGCGCAACATAATCCTCTAACACAGAGAGAGACCCAGAGAGAGAGATTAGTTTTTTGCACGTCATGGTTCAGCTGCTGTGATCACGTCTTCACCTTCTCGATGACAGTTTATCCCTTCTACACTTTTCAGATCTCTATAGAAGCAGGGAAAGGATTATTGAAACCGATTTGAATAGTAAGGAAACCAAAGCAGATCCTTTTTTATGTTTCATGAACATGTTTTTTTTGTTTGTTTTTTTAAGAATCAGAATACAAGATCATTGTTTTTATAAGAAGAAAATATCATAGAAAGCTTTCCAGGATAGCAGGCAGGCAGGTGGGGGTTTAGTAACAGTGTGTCAGTGTCTCTAGGACATAGGAGGAGCTGCTATGTGACAAATTGAAGTGGAACTGAAGATGCATTTATCTTTTTACAGATACATTTTAAATCACAGGTAAGTTTCTAGAAAGAAACTAATGTTTCCACCCCTTCAGTCTTTGAGCCGTATTGATTTCCTCTTTGAGACTTATTCAAGGTTACTTTTCAAATAAGATTTACAATTGATTTAATTTAATCCAAGACGCTAAAACCAAAAAACATTGAGCTCAATAACCTCCGATATCGGACTCGACAAGCAGAAACTACAGCAGTCAAAGAGTTTAAATTGGTCCCACTCTCTCTCATGAACAGAGAGAAACATCCTTCGATTCACTGCCGTCCGTCCGTCAACAGAAGATCCGGGCCGGGCTAAAGCAGATGGCATCCATCTGATTGAAGCTCTAAAACCCTTCATCACCATTTCAAATGAAAACTTAAATCCTTTGAGTATCTGTGCTGCAAAGTCTGCAGCACATTCAGGGTCTCATCTCTCCGGTCTTGAAAAGGAGTCTTCTGTGTGTGTGTGTGTGTGTGTGTACCTGGATGACAAATGTCTTGTCCTGGAAGCCGGGTGTCAGGCCCAGCATGCTCATGTAGGACGCCTCGTTGATGAAGTTCTCGATGCCGTGGAAAACTCCGCGTCCGGTGGCTGAGATCCGTCCGTGGATTCCTCCCTGGCTGATGGGCTTTCCGGTCACACACGCGTGGGCGTTGATGTCCTGCCAACGCACACGGAGAACATCAGACCGCGTGCAGTGGGCCGTAGACGGATTATGCATACGTGCATTGTTGACGATGTTCACAGGAGATTTTTTTTTTTTTTTAGGACTTAAAACAAGTTTTATTCCCTAGCAAACCACCGAGATGTCAAGCACCAACTACAATGGCTGAGTGGGATCGACTATCCATCAGGGATAGTGGCTGTCTATGGTACAAGTATCAGCCATTGGGCGCACGCGCACACGCGCACACGCACACGCACACGCGTGTGGAACCGGACACATGACTTGGCTGAAATGAAAGAACTCCTTTAAAAATGACTACTGGTCACAAAACGCAGGTTAGGTGTGTTTGTTTCTGCACCATAACGGTACACGGTTTGCAGTCGTTTACATTTAAACGATGCAGGTATGTAGAGTGTGGTGTGTTTATGTGGCGTTCCCAGTCTATGTGATTATGAGTCACTGAAATTGCAGCAGAACACTCGATACAGGAACATTACAAGACATTCGTAGACGTCTCCTTCGGCTCTGGGAAGTAACAAGTCATTTATTTTTGAGACGAAAAACAAAATGGACGAAACCTGTAATAATCAGTCATTATGAGCAAATCTAGTTTAAACCCTAACTGGCTTTTCTCTACTTTTTCTTGACTTAAAAGACGGTTAAAAGCTATGTTATTTAAAAGCATCCAACTAATTATCTTCGATTATACATTATTATCTTCCATCTTCAGTCAAATAGTCCCGTTTGTCAGGTTTTGACGAGAGATCCATTAACTGAGAACAAACAGGCCTTAGTTTGCAAAGCTTCTCTTAAAAAAGAGGAAGACCGTGTCAGTGGTCGGCTGGAAAGGGAGAGGCAGGAAACCACTGCTCGTGCTTTCCATGTGACTCACGCTGTGCTTGGGATGTGGCCCGTTTCAAAATGAGGGAGGTCGTACAGATTCGTTGTGTAGGCCTGAGAACTCACAGTGTGCGCAATGGTGTTGGCGTACGTGTCGGCGATCCAGGACATTTCCCGCTCTCCTGTGCTCATGTCTGGAGCCGGGACGTCGATGCCAGGTCCTGTGGTGGGGGGGGAGTTAACCAAGCACGGCAGTCACAAAGCAGGAATTAAAATAAAAAAGACTGAGCGGAAACCTAATGTATGTAATAAAATTAGAAGAGGGGGGGGGATTACTAAGAGAAGGAGGGCTTGCTCAATTGAGGCAGTTTGACCATGTTACACTCGACGCAGCGGGCCAGTGATTTGTGCAAAGCGTGCTACTTTGCCTTCAGGGGGTCTAAAAATTCAGTGGTGAAGGCGCTTGTTCCGAACCTCACTGAATGACAACTATTGCGGCGTACGAGCATGAAACAGATGTGATATCGCGGCGTGTGACTGAACACAATACATATTAACATTCATGTAAGGGCTGTTGACATACACACTGCTTATCATTTCTGTCTCCCCATTGGTAAACAGCAGGTTCTTCTTACCATTATTATTGACCGCCTTTTCAGTTTACACAGGCGCACCCTGAGCTAGCCCTTCCTGAACAAACAGCGCTGGATGACAGGAAATGTTTTCTTCTCTGGGTGGAAACCTCCCCCACCGAAGCCACTTCCAACAGAGTCAAATAACAGACTCCGCCTTATACTGATGTACTGTGATATTTTTTTGGAATAACTTTTAAACAAGGGAACTCACCAATAAACCCCTTCTTGGCCAGCTCGATGGTGAATCTCCTGGTAATCTTCTCCAGCTCATTATCCTGCAACACACGGAGTTTAGTAAAGAAAACATATCGGCTACAGTGAGACATTCATTACAGTCAAGGGAGAGAACAAAGAAAAAAAAGGAATCCAGCAAATCCAAACAGGGTCTCGTCCACATAAACCGCTAGTTTCCATTTGATGTTAAGTTGTTTTTTTAGTAGGGGGAAAATTTATTGGACCACAAAATTCTCACATGAGCATCTACTGGCAATAGTTAATGCAGCCCTGAAAGTCGACTGCAACATAGAGACATAAGACACATTTCAGGTTCTGTTCGCTCTCCAATCTCAAGCTTTCTCAATAATAGAAAAGTGGAAAATGAAAATATTTGATCTATAAATTCTATTGTGCTTGGATGGTCACTCGTGCTTAGTTTCTTTTCCTACACGTCTTACAGCATGCAGTGAAACATGTGAATATATTTCTACTGGGGGGGGGGGGATCAGCATTAGAAGGCTTACAGAGTAATTCTTGGTGTTGATCTTGACTCCAGCTTTAGCTCCCCCAAATGGCACATCTGGAAGACAATAAGAGCTTTAAAAGAGCGAACACACACACACTTGATTTACGTTGTGATTCACGATGGAAGAACATCGTCAAAGTTTAAGCTTTAACCTACCGACAACAGCACACTTGTAGGTCATCAGGGAGGCCAGGGCTTTGACCTCGTCTACGGACACGTCCATACTGTAGCGGATACCTAAAGGAATCAAACAACACACCGTAAATATACTACATGTGATAAGCTGCATGCCAAATGTATTTTACAGTGCCTTGTATACATTTTAAGGGTTTAGATTGCAACATGTGGACATAATTAGCCTACAGACACCGGCTCCACCACACGGCAGCTCAACAACAGAAAAGGGGAAACACATAGCAGAGAAGACCAGTAATCACAGCGTGTTTTCCTACAATCTCACATGAACGAGTCAGAGGTCACAGGGTGTGCCCGGCAGTCACGGTAGCATCAGCGAGCGGGTGGAAACCTCAAGAACCAATCCCAGCTCCCCCTCCAGACTCCCGCCCCCGATGTACAGTCAAACCCTCCTGTTGTGGGGTGTTTACTACAGTCGTCGTGGCAACAGGTGTGGGCCAGCCTGTGTGCTGCGTTACATGAGACTATACTTTCTTATTGGCATAGTGTGTCTGTGTAGGATTGTCTTGCAGTACCCAATATAGCTCATCCAGAGTTGCCTTCTGCAGAGAAAGCCAAGGGCAAACCGTACAAAGCAGGGGGGGGGACAAAAAGTTTTTCGAGGGGACAAAAGAACCCGGTGTTATTTGTAATGTGTTAAACTTTAAGCACAAACACAGGAACACTAGCGCGCGCCCCCTTTTCATCTGAGGATCAGCTGAGCTACCTCGGGCCCAACACAAGACTCTGGACCGCCAGATCAAATTAGAAGAAAAAAGCCTAACTGCATATATACCCATCCCCCACCCAACCATTCATGTACCCACCCACCAACCCAGCCAACCGCTCACCAGAGCAACCAAACATTGGGGCAAACACATTCCTCTGTAATGGCGGACAGATTTGTTGGAAACAAACAGAAACCTCCGCTGAAATTCTGAAGTTCCTGCAGCAGGCCGGGTTGTTAAACGTCGACACGCAGGCCTGACGGGGACACAGAGCCAACGGCTTCAGAGGCGCTCAGGCCTAAAATAACCAGCCACTTATATAGAATCCTCTCAAACATTTTAGGCGTGTGCTTTTACTATTTAAAAGTCTTTAGCACTTTTTGCCCAATACGATTCCTTTGCATTAGTAATAACCTCTTGCAGAATATTATTCATGCCATTAGAAGTGTACACTCAACAGAACATTGACACCAAGTGTATAAAAAGTGACACAAACTTCTGCACGGAGAGCAGAAAGAGGTTGACAATTTAGCCGAAATAACAACCCTCGATCAAATATGACAACTACATGTCTCATCCGGCGTTGTGTGAATAACTTTGCGTGCATAGAAGCACCACATGATATCCCCGAGTTAGGACGCCAATTCTGTAGACAGGGTTCGGTCAAACGCAGCTGTCACTCCGAAAGGGGGGGGTTGCTCACGCACACGCACGCGCCTTTGCACTTTGATTTGAACACTGGCAGGAGTCTATGCGCATCAATGATTAAACCCACAGAAAAGAAGAAAACAACATTAAGCTGATCTTTCTAGTTGACCCCTGTAATCTAGAAGGTTGGCCAATCAGATTTGTTTGATGGGCCAATGCAACAAATAATGGCGTTTCCACTTGTATGAAATGGATGGAAAGTTAAAATTGCCTGCGACATTGATCTGGGTTAGACAAAACAGAGCAAGATATCTAGTGATACGAACACTGTGGAGGCCATTTTGATGTTTGATTTGGCTTCGGTCAAGCTTTTATGATATGGGTAGAAGCTACGAAGCGCTTAATGGAATTGATTTTCAATCAATGGCTTCTCTGAGAGGTCTCGATCTGATGGCTGCCCGTACAGGCTGCAGAGTTAAACCATTAAGTGGCTTGATGGGAGAATCCATAAATCATCTTGGCTCCATAAATGACTCTTAACCGGTGTACACACACACACACACACACACACACACACACACACACACAATATGACTCCCTAAAATATTTCCACATTAACTACTTCATAGCAGGTACAACGGAGGGGGGGGGGGGAGGTGTCACAAGCGGCGAGTACCATTCAAGCATGTCCGTCTAACTGGCTGGCCTCCCTGTCTGCTGAGAAAGGCCTCCTCCTCCCCCTCTCCCCCCACCTGGCACACAGCGAACAAATCGGAGTGCCTGGAAACAAAACCGCCCCCTCCCCAGCTATGAAAGTCCGTCTGACCTATACGTCTCATATCCCTCAAATCACCCAGAGTGCACTGCAGCAGTAACCCATAATGCCTCGGCTTTGAACTTTGAACCACGATGGGACCGTCATGCTGCATACCCTCCTGTGCCCAAGGTTGACACACACACACACACACACACACACACACTCATCAAAAAGGTGCAGTAGGTCTGCACTGGTCCAACAGGAGTGCGGCACATGGTGGCAAAGGCCTGACATGCGCAAAGACATAACTGGTGCATAAAAAGAATAGAAGTAAATCAGATCCGTGAGGAAGAAAAGCAAAACCAATCCACCTTATCGGTTTGGGTGTAGATCAAAACGAGGGGGGGGGGGGGGGGGTATTATACCTTCAGGGGAGCAGGAAGGTCAATGTAAAACTGCACAAAAAGTCATGAGAGCAGTGCGTGGCAGGCGAAACAACAGTAAACAAAAAGTTTACAACAATGAACTTGTGGTTGTTTTAGAAACACGAGTGCATTGAGCAGTGAATCCGCGTGTTACGGCTAACCGGGATCAATAGCCGCTGATGACAGCGGCTTCCTGGTGTTTGACATGCTAGTGGGCGGGCTAACGGCTAAGCGGCTGGCTAAAGCTAGCGTTAGCTAACGCGGCGGCTCAGCCGCGGCGGTTGGGCTCCGTTCTTACCCCCTTTGCAGGGTGTCCTGTGCTGGCTGTGCTGGGCGCGGTACCCCTCCACCACCTCCCACTCGCCGTTGTCCCTCTTGATGGGGAAAGACACGCTGAGGACGTGGTTGCAGGGCTTGATGATGCGCAGGATGCCACGCACACGGCTCCTCTTCTGCTCGGGGGTCTCCCTGGTCTTCAGGTCCTCGATCAGCTTGTCCTCGACGATGCTGGCGCCGCGGTCGAAGAAGCCCTCGACCATCCGGAAGAAGTTGGGGTCGTCCGGCTTGTCCGCCGCGTCTGCGTAGCGACGGACCCGCATCAGGGAGGAGGACACCGGGAGAGCGGAGTCAACGCAACCCGAGGCCAGGGCACTGCCCGCGGAGCGGCTCAGCAGCTCCCCGAAATACCGATACATGACTGGGACTAAGATGACCGTCCAAAGGAACTAATGAAGAGGCAACTAAACAAGGAGGGCAATGGTGGGGGCGGGGGGGGGTATAATGAGCAACACAGCAAGTCCTCACCGCGTCCCGTCCTCTGGCCGAGTGGGGAATGGCACGCTGTGTCAGTTTCACTTAAAAGGCAGCAGGAGCCAAGGAGGAGGGGGAGAGGGGGAGTGAGGAGTCCTTGGGACGCGAGCGGAAGAGGAGGACCAACAGAGGCGCGCGTCCGTGCGAGGTAATTGACAGCGCGCGTTCCCGAGTTTGCGCCATTCGAATCAGTCAGTGAATTAGTAGTAATTTGATAATCAGATAAATAAATTAAATTACATATTCATATATAATAATATATATAAATAAAATAGACAAAAAAGTGGTATTCATCACCAAGAAGTAGCAAATATACCTGTTCACAAAATTATTAATAATAATTAAAAAATCTTTTAAAGGGCCCTTTTTATGTATTTATCAACATAAAAGCCATCCTTGATTTTTCTTTCTGCCCTTTGATTAAACAATACCTTTTATTCTAGTAATTTGAGAGACTAGACAGTAGTATTTGTTTCAGACCAAACAACCACCTAAAAGCCACCTAACAAATTCTAAACTGCCCGCTTTAAAAATATTTTAAATGAATAACGTCAGAATATAAGTAAAATGAAAATAAATATGTCAACCGTGCATTGAGTTGGTAGGATGAGCGATGAGCGTGCACCAGTTTGATCATTTATTAGCTTTTGTACAGCGACTACAGTGTTACAGTTCTGTACTTTAGTGTTTGTTCAGAGGCTCTTTGTGAGGCCTGCTGTCCTCAACCGTTCCCTGATCTGTGGAGTGAGTGAGAAAGGCCCATGGTGTTTGCATCACTCATTAACCACTCATTAACCACCCTGAATAACATCGGCAACAATGAATAAGGGGGTTGATCTGGTGATGTACAGTTTATGACCACCGCAAATAATTTACTGTTGCCATTGAAACAAAATCTGCCTTGAGGCTGCACATGGTGAGTCATACGTGCTGACGTACGAATGTATGTTTAGATATTTCCATGTATAAAATGCAAACATTTACGAATACTACTTATACACAAAGTACAGCTGTAGTTGATGGGTTTCCTGTGGCATGTTTGGTAAAAATCCAAAGTATTGAACGAACCTGAACTTCGCCCAGATGGTGGCCGTGAATAAAAATAATTCATCAACTTATTACAATTTATCTTTAAGCAGGACATGAATATACGTTTCATAGCAATTCATCCAAATGCTGTGAAGAAATTTCTCCTTAAACAAATGTGAAGGACACATTTGGGATCACCAAGGACAGCAGGCTTTATCCTCTGAGGACCACGCATGTCAACAAAATTTCAAAATATTTGACTAGAAAAGTGAAAAATCAGTTAGTTGAATAATTATCTTCTAATTGACCTCAATCATCACACCAGTGGTTCTCAAACTGTGTGGCGCGACCCTCTGGTGGGGCACGGAGGTATTACGGGTTGGCCGCAAGGGGCTGGGGGAATGTATATATTTTTTTAAATGATTGTTATTATTTTATCTATAATCCTTCATTAATCCTGCATGGGGGAATTATTCTCTGCATTTTACCCATCCTTAGTCATTAAGGAGCAGTGTGCTGCTGTGAAGCACTGGGGCTTCGGTGTCTTGCTCAAGGACACTGAAGACATGCAACTACGGAGAGAACACGGATCGAAGCGCACTGTAAAACATCACAGCCCTGTTTAGTTACGTCCACTTACTTCTTCTCTTTAATTCGAAGAGCTCTGACAAGTTTTAGATTTGAACTTAAAAGTTAAAACTTAGTTAAACTTAGTAATGCTTTGTGTTGACTTATTCTATTATTAATAAAAGCACACATGGAGTCACAAAGTGTCGTTATTTCAACAAAAATCCAGCATGGACCATTTTGTTACATTTTTCTTGGCGGTGGGGCCTGAACATTCTTCTTCTTCTTTTTTCCAGACGGAAATAACTACTATCGGATGGATTGGCATTCATGGTCCTCAAGACAATGTATCGCATCATCCTCATCCTTAGAAAATGTTGACGCTCTAACCGTCTGAAATAAAATAACATTGTAAACATAATACATGCTGCACATCAGCATTGTCATCTTTTATGTGTCGCAATGCAAATCGAAGCTTTTGGCTTAGTTAAAGTTCAGCCTAACAGAGTTGCTGCATTGACACTGAAGGATCAGTAAGTATCTGCTGTGATTATCTAACACTCTATCAGTAGCTGACGGTGCACTGTGAGTTGGGTCAGTTTAGAGGAACATTGACTCACTTCCTGTCTCTGTTTTGTGCCTGAGTGTGCTCCTTTTAAATGTAAGCTCTTACTAGTGCGACATTAAACCCTAAGACCACCTCTCCCCCCTCTCATCTCTGCCCCCCTTGTGCCTCAGACTCGGCCGTACTGGAGTAATCGTGGAGTCTTCTGAAACAACAACCGGCAGGCAGTCAAATTCCATCAGCAGCAAAGGTTGCCTTGAAAACCAGCGTTGCCGTAACCTCCAACTCTGGGGAAACGGTGAAACAATTTTGTTATTGTCTGTTAAAGCCGCTGCTCGTATTGTCCCATAACGGATAAGATAGCGTGACTCCCACGTAACTCTGCTCTCATGCGTGTTCCCGCTGTTTCTCAGATAGGACATGCATGGCGCCCCAGCGTGTTCTATCGGCCTGCATGGCCCAGACAGAGACTCTTAGCGCTGAGCTCATCTGAACGAAGGCCCTGACCTGGGCTCGCCCCTGTGGACTCTGCACAGAAGATAAGATTAGATCACGCCCCCCAGGCGCAGCTTTTCTGCTCGAACAGTGATTACGCAACGTGAAAATGACTACTAAAATGGGCCTGTTTCTGCACATTCATTTAATATGTAAAAACACAAATTCAGACTGTGCATTTAAATGTTCTGGTCATCCGGTTTCATCGCTCTGATTTCAATAGGACAAAGTAATCAATAGTAACCATCTTGCCACTGCGTCGAGGCAAGCGTTCACTATTACTAATCTAATAATGACAGGGCTTAGTTCCTCATTGATTTTTCTCTACACTGAAGGACCCTGTAGCTTTACTGTGTTTTCTGAGATGAAACTCCTCACTTGTCGTTTTTTAAAGCGCACGTAAAGCAATAAGGCTTATACTGTCTGAATATTCATATGCCCACGTGTTTGTTTGCCACAAAACTCCTGTAAGAATTTCTTGATCTCAAGCAAACAAACATATGAGATTCAGTTGAATCTTTGCACTCCAACACCAGAGGACACTTCCGTTCAACTCTATTTATGGCAACCTTTCTTTATGTAGTAGTTATACCTTTAAAGCTTACGGAGTTGAACAACGACCAATAAATCACATTTATATGGTACTATACAATCTCTCCTTCATTGCCCTACAAGTATTCCCCCTGCTTGTGTGCCTCCTGTTAATCTCTGATCAACAACAGCCTTTATCTGCACTCTCCTTTCTGAACTGACACCGATTGCCAGTGGTGGTGTTTCAAAGGGTGAGCGACTGTCGGGCCATTGGCTGACAGCATGACAACACCCACCCAACCATGTGGGGTATGCTCTGGGGGGGAAGGGGGAGAGGAGGGTAAAAGAAGAGCTAAACAAGGGCCTTTCAGTTCGGTCACATGGGAGTTTAAAGATGGCTTTCTTCCTATCTGGTGGTTGGTCTCTGAGCGAGCTCCTCTGAGAGGTAAGGTCATGCTGGTGTGACATGTAACCGTCACACCACCACGTGACCTCCTCCACCTGTTATCTCCGTCCTCTTGTACCTCAGACTTGGTCCGACTGGAGTAATCAGGATTCAGAAAGAACATGCCGGGTCAGGAACTCCATTGACAACTGGTGAAGAAGGTCACCTTGAAAACCAGCATGGCAGCAAACTAAGCAGTAAATGTCTGATCATTAAACTAATCCTGAAGACATTAATAAGTTAGTGACTAAAATGTTTCTATTGCAAAGGATCAAGGAACGATCCGAGCTATTTAACGAGAAAAGAGAGAATACAAATTACAAATGATATTTTGTTTTGTTAAAACTGAGATTCTCTGGGATGAATTTCATCTTTATTATCTAGTACTATACACATTTAGTATAACAAAGGTTATTTTACAGACTTAATCATGATCATTACAATAATGTATTTAATACTGTCTTTACTCAACAACAAAACACTCAAATATGCCACACTTAAAAATGTAATTGTCTCATAATTAAAAGCCAAATTATGCGAATTGTAGGTGAACACCTATATAATCTACCTTCATTTACATTTTTTTTAATATTTTGTTTTCTTGGAAAGAGTAGCTGATACAAATATACGAGTGATGGGATTTCTCGTTAAGCGGGGTACCCGGCTCGTTTACATGCTGAACCAGTAGATGTGCCGTCAGATTCCCTGAGGAATTAACGAGCTTATAACATTGTAGGACAGAAGATTATAAGCTCTGTTTCATATGATCCGTCAGTTAATATGACAATCTCAAAGACTTTCCATCTAACTTGATGCCTATTAAGTCGCCTAAGGAGGTAACATCCACATGTTCATATATTTACAGTATTACAAACCAGGCGTCTGTGGCAACATTCCTGAAAAACGTGATGTGATTTTTCTATTGTTTCAATCAGAACTGAAATCTTAGTGACTCCCCCTTCGAACACTAGATGGTGCAAGAGTTTTCCCCTACATGTGGACGTGTGACAGGATCAGTCGAAGTGAGAAAAATACATCCATCAATGTCCGTTGCCCTCACATCAAACTGAGCTATTTTTGTCAAACTGGAAGCCCTAATGGGATTTAGTAAGAAATACTAAACAAGATAAATAACAGTGAGGTGGTGGATCATCCATAGTGACCCAACTCAACCCAACTCAATGATATTAACCTGCATTGTATTGGACCATCGGCAGAAGCACATGTTTCCAATTCTGTGTTTATATGCTATTAGAGGTGAGTAACAAATATGGTTTATTGTTATTTGGGTGAACTAACCAGTTCAGCTATGAAAACGATTAGTAATTTGAACCTGTCCATTAAATACGCTTTTATCCAGTTTCTCAAAAATACAATTGTATTGTCAGAACCTTTCTGAAGAGAAATAAAATTGCTTTCAGAAGAAATTACTGTATAGATTATTTAAAATGATATCTTAATGGTCTCACCTCCATAGAGGCCCTGGACGTAGACGCAACAAAATATGTACACAAACAGCTTTTAGAGAAGGACACAAATAACCAAATCAAGAAAGGACGTTTTCAGTCTCACTGAGAATTTAAGGAGTTGTACGCTGTGCACATTATAAGGTACCAAATGTGGAATTCAGAGCACATCTGTGTGAGTTGCTGATTCATGAGCTCATAATATGTTTTGGATCTGCAGAGTAACTGGAGCTTAGACAAAACGTATTTTTCTATGAAATGTGTGAAGTAGTCGTATAAAATAGCATAAAAAAGATATAATCAAGGGAAGTACCTACATGTTAACGTTATTAGCTATACTTTTGTAAAGGAGTGTGTGTTTTCTCAACAGGTGCGTAAAATAGTATGTTTTTATTTGATATCTGCAAATTTCATATTTTTAAATAATCTCTACAGTAATTTCTTATGAAAGCAATTTTCTTTTTCTTCAGCGGTTCTGAGGATGTAACAAACAATTGTATTTTTGAGAAACTGGATAAAAGCGTATTTAATGGACAGGTTCAAATTACTAATCGTTTTCATTGCTGAACTTTGTTTCACACCAGTAAAGCCAATAGAACTGAAATTTGAAAAAAAAATTGCGTGTGAATGTGAATTCAGAAGTCAAGAGGTAAAAAGTTAACTAAGTTCCCACGAGAACTTTCCTATCAAGTGTTTCTTTCAGGAAGCTGTGGCTTTGACTTGTGCTCACATCTCCTCATCAGCATATCGCTGTGTGCTTGTGCGTGTGTGCTTGTGCGTGTGTGTTTGTGTGTGTGTGTACACACAGTCAGTTGTCACGCCACGTGCAAGGTGGCTCGAAAGGAAACCCCAAAGGAAGTGAGGTCTGGCCCAGCGAGGTCAGGGAAAAGTCACACTGCCTGCTTTCGTCAACATATTTCAATTCTCACAACGCCCCGTCAACTGTCTGTCAACCACAGTCTGCGCCCAACGCTTTCAATTTTGTTTTAACAAAGGCGAAATTTGTGTTACTGAAACCATTTTTGCAAAAAACCTAACTGAACAATCATTCCCCCAAGATTTGGTTCAATCGTCTGGTACACGAGCGGCAGTTCAAATATTCATAGCTTTACCCGGATACTAAACGGAGACATCATTGCTTGATAAAAACACACAGAAAGTTGTTTAGAATGCAAATGTTTTGTGTTTAATAAAGGTTGTAAGTGGTAATAATTCACATATGGAGGTAGAGAAGATTGTTGTGGTTTCGCTGGAGATGCAGGCTTCGCAGACTGTTCTTCAGACTTTAGCTTCAGCTCAAATGTGCACCATCTGGTCCACAGAGAGCTGCAAGGACGGCTCCTCCACTCCACTGTCGACATATATGAATGGATACATTTAATTAAATGAATCAACAATGGATAATGAAGATGATCAGACGTCTGCAGCCTTATATAAACCTGTGTGCACAAGCATGGAATGCCTTTAATCACACTGAGGCGTGGAAATGAATTTGAGATTCAAGGTGAATCAAAGTCCCACAAATCCTGCATGGCGACGGCACAAACACACACCTGAGCACGTAGGTGACACAGAGGATGCAGAGCGGCTGGTGGGCTCCAGGTCTGGACTTGCATGGTCGGACGCTGGGGATGACGGCGCTGTGAGTCTCCACCCAAACGTAGCCTCCACCTGACACGAGCATCCGGTACTGACCGCTGACGGACTGACTCTTAAAACACACTGCAGAGAGAGAGAGAGAGAGAGAGAGAGAGAGATGTAGAATGAGATATCTACAGGTCTGTAATTAGTGTATATATATGTGATTGTGTGTGTGTAGAGGGGGGCATCACTTCTTACAGTTTAGATGATTTTTGGCCAAATGATTTACGTCCAGTGTGTGACAGAGATCATAGATGGAACGACCCAGAAGCTCCTCAGTCCTGTAACCTAAAAGCAGAGTAATTCTGCCAAAAAGAAACACAAGTAAGAAAACGATCTAAATTTATTGATGTATTTATCAGATATAATGCCAGAAAATTATCAAAACTAAGACTTTTTAGGCTGCGGCCAAATGGAGTTTTTCTAGGTGTCGTGTGCATTATTTTGTACACATTAACCCTGAAAATTATTTCTCAGATATTTTCTATCTTTGGGAACATTGAGATGTCCACCAGAATTTAAAATAACACGGTTAATGATTCATTCATGTACAGCATTGGTATTATTTCATAATGTACAAAATTGCAAAATGAAATCAGAACTCATCCATGTGATATGAAAAGGAGTTCATCTCAAGGTTATTTATTTTTTTCTAATTTACATACTTTTTTAAGCCTAACATGTGCAGAGTAACTACTTCCTCTTGCAGATTTGTATTCTCCTACAGCTTTCTCTCAGCTCATTTAATAAAACAAAATAATCCTAAAACCCTATAAGATAAACCAAATCCGAAAAAAAGAACAAATCATACATCCAGGACGTTTGTTAACTGCACAAAGTTTAAATAAAGTTAAGTTGAAATAAGCTTAAATAAGCTTAAATCACCTCTGGTCACAGTGCGTGAACCTCATGTCCATGCTGTGCTGGCTGGTGAACGTGTGCGTGCTGAGGAGTGTGTGTGAGAGGGGCAGAGGCTGGCAGGTCAGCAGCAGGCAGGAAACCGAAGACGAGGCCACGCACACCTTCGCTCTGCCCTGGCAGTGGAGAACCTGAAACGACAGACGGAGCTCGATCAAAAAGAGCCCAATGACTGTGATCGGGAGCCCGCCGGGCCGCCACGTTGGGCTGTTTCTCTCCGACCTTCCACGTGGCTGACTTGAGGCTGGCGCTTCTTCCTCTGTACGTCGGAGCACTTTTTATCCTCACGACAAAGTCCCTCTTTGCACCCGACCAAACTTCCTCTAAAAAAAAGGGAGTTAGAAATCAGCTACAGGGGCACTTTGAGCAGGCGTGTCCCAAAAAACACACAACCACACGTGCACCTGACAAAACCTAGACGCGCACACACACACACACAGACCCACACAAATAAGCACACACCTGCTGTTAGACGTAGATTATTTCTGATTTCGTCGTGGTCACAAGGGTGAGTGAACTCAAAGATATTGTGTCCAATCAGCTCATTCTGTCAGAGAGAAAAAAGGAATACACGTCATTCACATATAAATGTGTGTCTGTGTGTGTGTGTGTGTGTGTGTGTGTGTGCGTGGGTGTACCTGTGTCAAGCCCATGTACTTGCTGACATTGTCAGACAGGTAGATCATGTCTCCCTCGGAGGATAAGACGATCAGAAATCCCTCCAGAATCCTCAGGTACAAGTCTGTCTCCTCCGAGGCCTCCGCGTCCTCCGCCTCCTCACGTCCTCCATCACAGCTGCGAGGTTCATTTCCACCTCCCATCACTTGTCCACATTTTGCCACTTGACTAACCTCGGCTTTTGTCCGGGACTCCCCTGAAACAGCGCGCGAGAGTGAGACGCTCTATTCATCGTTCTTTTGAAAATGTTGGAGGAAACATTCTATTTTTGTCTACATTTCCAGGATGTTCAGTACTTAAGGGAACTGTCAAAAAATAATGTGGAATATTGTTAATACTGTATGGGATTCTGTGTAAGTTTGCCTGTTTGAAGTATTATTATTTTTTCTGAAGCAGAAGTAACTCCTCTGCAAAAAAGTGAAAACTTCCTTTCAGTTTCAAAATGCAACAAGATCTGTTTCAACATGCTATTTCACTTACGGCATGCATATTGTTTTGGTTTATAACACGTATGTTTTTCACTGTGAAGCACATTGCTGTTTTTTGTCCTAAAAGTGTGTGATTCGTGTGCTCGGTGATGATTGCTTGTACCTTTGAGCACTGTGTGCATGCGTATGTAGCTGAGGGTGAGGCGAATCACCGAGGGCTTGTCCAGGTGAGCTTGGACGGCCGGTTGGAGCGGCAGGAGGCGAGACAAGTCCTCAAACACCTCGGACTCCACCCGTCTCCTCCTTCTGGCTGCCTCGCGGCTGATCGCCCTGCAGAAGAAATAAAGTCGCCATAAACTCACACTGCGTTACTACAGATGACAAGTCTGTGTATACAAAAGATACAGATAGTTGAAATTATAATAACTTTCTGTTCTACTGAACATTCTTACACGGTGTCGTAGTTTTTTTGTCATTATGAAGATGAATTAAGTGATTTTGAACCAGAAATTTAACACAATCAAAATGAGCGTCTCTGAGGTAAACTTTTAGTTTACTTCACTAAAACTCGGAGGAAATACTGTACCTTTAACTACCTTTATACTGTAATTTTGCTTACCAATAGCAATGACTTTGAATTCAGATTCTACCGTCACCATGATCCAAAATCATCACTGTATCTGGTTTTCTACCTGATGACACGCACTTCATATGATCTGATGAGACTGTCAGGAAATTATCATCATCTGCATTGTGGTCAATGACAGTTGCCACGAAGCGGCTTTACCTCCTCTTTTCCTTGTCGCCCGTCATTGGGTCCAACGGGCGTCTCTATCCGTTGTCATGGTGGCTGTTGGCTTGGAACAGAAGAGATGCAGAAAGTGGTAGTAGTAGTAGTTCACGGCGCAGCAGGAAACGTCCCCTCTGCAGTTTGCACCCTCGCAGGTCGTCGAATTAATCAGACAGGCAATTAGTGGTGCCAGATGTCACAAAGGCAAGTGGTCCCCCGCAGCACAGATGACTTGAACGGTGAGTGTCTCCTCTCCCCTCTGCGTGTGCATCACCTACAGGGCCTCCGCAGCTGAGCACGATGGTAGGTCAGCCGGCCAGGAAAAGCAAAACCCCAACCCTCCCCTTCCTCCCCCTCCCCACCTCCCCCCCTCACTTCTTCTTCTTTTTCTTCTTCTCTCGCAACAAACGTTGAAGCATCCCACAGAACAGATTTGCCTCTGAACAGCAGCAGGCGAGAATCGATGAAAACATTTTTAAAAAGACAACGCAGAGGAGTCTGGAAGTGAAGTAGACAGCTCAGTGTTTTATTGGAATCAGACCAGACAGGACTAGCCCGGCTGTTGCACTACATTTTGGCACAGAGTAAGATAGTGTGACCAGGAACAGCCTCACCCCTGGGTGCACGAAGCTTCACTACACACCGACTCTACTGCACACAGAGCAACCAGCTCACCTTCAGTTCACTGTACAGTACACGCGACGCAACAGTCCTTCTCTGTGTTTGCATGTTTGTGTGTGTGCGTGTGTGTTTGTGTGTGTGTCAGAAAGAGAAGGAGAGTAAGAAGGAGGAGGCAAAGGAGAGAGTCTGTATTTGGTGTTTCGCTTGTGTGTGCATTGGAAATGAGAGGTAATTCAGCTGCTGGTTTTCCACATTTCGTTTTGCCCGGCTGTAACAGAACTATGATAGTATAGTTATAGTATTATACACAAAGGTTTCCTCCAGATACACTTTACAATAATACCTATGATAAAAAAAAGAAAGAGAGCCGTGAGAATGAAAAGCCATTTTTCTAAAAAAAAGAAGCAAAAGTCAGAAAAGCAAGTGGTTTTGGCTGAGTGAGATGGTTGCTGGAGGCATGAAAGGGGAATTGGGGCTTTTCAGAAGCGGGGAAGGACACGAGGGGGCCGGGGTAAGGGGACGGGGACAGGGGGGCGGGCTGAAAACACTGATGGTAACTATAGCAACAGAAATACTGAGGACAAAAAGTCACACACCGACAGAGAGAAAGAAAAAAGATCACGCATTCATTCGCACACACAAATATGTACATTCACGACAAAAAAAAAATAACGCCCACGGGCCAGCGTGCTGCCGGTGGCGGGACGGGCTCCGAAACTGGCAGATGGATGAATTAGCTGGAAATCTGGCTTTACGCTGCTACACAGGCCGCCTGCAACACTCTTCTGCTCCACATAATTAGTTCAATAGCCTGTAACTTGTAAGCTCGACATTCACTTTATACACACGAGACGGAAGCATGATGAGCACAAGGGTTCAATCATACCACTCTCTCACACACACATACACGCACGCACGCACGCACACATAAAAACCGTTTTGAGAAAAGACAAAAATAACACTTGAAGAAACAAATCAAATATATTGATAGTCAGGGTATTGCACAAATATTTGGCCCTAACTGCTCCACGACAGTGATAACACAGGTAGGGTGCTTGTCCATGCGCCACAACGGACGATACCGACACAATACAGGCTATTTACAGGCCTCTGCACCCAGCACCCACTGAACAGTCCTGGTGCTGGGGGACAGAAGCAGTAGGTGTGTGTGTGTGTGTGTGTGTGTGTTGTGTTTTGGTTGTCTGAGCATGTGCAGTGAGCGTGTTTTTGTGTGTGGAGAGTAAAACGTGGGATTGTAGTGTGTGTAAACCTACATTAAAAATGTGCAACGTGGGAATGTGTGTGTGCAAGAGAGCGTGTGCAGCTGTGTATATTCATAGTCATAGTCATATTTATATTCATAATAAACCCAGGCAACAAGAACAACACAATGCAAGTAAAGAATATTCAAAAGAGTAACAACAACCAATAGCTTCAAAGTAAAGAGTGTGTGTGTGTGTGTGTGTGTGTGTGTGTGTGTGTGTGTGTGTGTGTGTGTTTTGTAAAGGGATTTATGTCTCTACACATGTATGAATTTCAGCTATGTGTCCTTACATGCGTGCCCGGTGTAGTGGTGTTGGATACTCCTGTGTGTGTGTGTGTGTGTGTGTGTGTGTGTGTGTGTGTGTGTCTCCTCGGGGGCACAGTAGGAGAAGTCCTTGAACTCCTCCTGGTTGATCTGTCGGATGATGGCCTCGTCCGTGGGCGTCAACACCGGGTCCTCCTTTGTGAAGTCCTGATCGAAGTTATTCACATCGCGCTTGGTCTTCTGCAGAGGCCAACACACACACACACACACACACACACACACACACACACACACACACACACACACACACACACACACACACACACACACACACACACACAGGGAAAGACGTCAGAGGAGGATACTTTACTTCAATAGAGTGCTTCAAAAGTGACGTTACAGCGACACCTTCTGCCCACTGAGACTTACTGCCTTTACTGTGTTGAACACACACACACACACCTGAGCAAAGGGTTCAAATGTAACCTCTGCTTCTCCTTCTTTCTATTCGTTCCTTAATGTTTTGTAAACTGTTCGAAGCCCACGAGGAGTTTGTGTTACTGAGAACTCTGAGAGTTTTGAATGTCCGGAGGATTAGGATTCAGCGAAGCCTCGCTGGATGAAATGCTCGCAAAAGACGACCGTTTTGTAACATTCCCGATTAATAACGCATGAGTGTGTGCTCGTGTAGCGTGTGCGTCTCTTACAATACGGGGCTTAAAGGGGGGTTTGACTTTTCTCAGCTCCAGCAGCACCCAGTCGATCTCTCTGAAGAAAGCATGGGTCTTGATGGCCTCCTCGCAGCCTTGGCTCACCACGCAGCCCAGGCGCTTGGCCGGGTTCTTCGTCATGAACTACACACAAAACAAACACACAATACACACTTTTTTCATTCCAGTTGCAGCAGCAGCATTGTGCGTATGCCCCAGGAAACCAGGCAGCCCCCCCCCCCCCCCACACCTCCAGGAGGAGTCAGTTTTATTGTCAAACATATTTGGTGGTGATTTATTAGCACATGGCATTTGTTCCTCTGCGTTCAACTATCTTGCATAAGTCCCGAAGTGTTACCCGCCACATCATTTCGAGATGAATCCTGGAAAATCAACAGCCTGTCAAAATGAAAGCAGCTTTCTAAACTAATTGTGTGTGTGTCTGTGTGAGTTTTCATTCAAAGACATGTAGCGTATACGACCTACTGTGAATAAGGTGAAATAAAATATCATAAAAAAAAGACCTTGTTTATCAAAGTAATTCCCCACCTGCAGCCAGTTACGCCTCGAGTCCAAAATCTCATCCACATCTTGGCAGCTGCCCAGAAAATAGCTGTGTTTGAGTTTCCTCGCCTGGAGTCCAGGTAGGCTGCACTCCCACTGGCCCATATTAACTGTAAAATACTGTTGTTTTTTTACGTCCGGGGAAACACGTATATAGAAAGAACGTGTTCGGTCTGATCAGAACGCTTTATTATGTTTACATCGGGGGCCGGCCCACAGATTCACTGTCCGCCGCCGGGTGACACCTCTGAAAACCAGGACACTCGGCCCTGTGGGTTCGTCCATGAAAATAAAGAGGACAGAAGCAGGACGAGGGGTTGAGCAAAAAAAAAAAAAAAGCATTTCAGTGCTAATAATAGAGCGAGTCCGTTAATGGCTGTGTGGTACAAACAAAGAGGCGTAGTGGCAGAGTGATGAAGCGGGTCAGCGGAGCGCCGGTGTTATTTGCTGCGTCTGAGAGCAGCCTCTTTTGTTCTGCCGTCTACTCGGTATCGTGAGAGCAGTTTGGTTTTATGATCGCATTGTTAATACTTTAACCTCTGCGACTGACTTTTTTTCCATTCTGCTCGGTATCGGAGCAAAGGGAGGCGTAACGCCGCCGTGTTAAGTGCACTTTGAATGCAGGTTCATTTGTTTGCGAGCAGATGGAAGCATGAATGATGGTGGCGACGCGAATGGCGACGGGGAGTACAAAGGAGAACGCTCGATTGGTCGCCAGCGAAACCCCTTTTTGCCTGAAGTTAAAATCTCGGAGGTCACATTTCATAATGCAGCAAGGTGTTTTAAAGGTGAAAAATGTGGACGACTGGCTAAATCTGGCTGAACGGTGAGCTTCTGGTTCACATTGAATTGTTGTTTTGAAAAGCATTTAAACAACTTAATTTACACATTAACATCCAGCGAAATAGTGTTGAAACTTCTGTATGTAACTTAGGCTGAGTTTGTGCCCTTGATGTGCTACCATTTGATTCAATTCACTGGTTAAAAAAATGCATTCTGTCGATTTAAGGAATCCCATTTTAACATTTATTTTGACCAAAATATAATTCCATGTGTTGCATAATAATAAAACATTTTTAGCCTGTTTTCTAAGTTCTGTTATTATATCCAAACAATAAATTCTGGGGATAGAAAAAAGTTATAAAATGTGCAAACATTAAGGACTTTCCTATCATGTAAGTTATTTCTCAACATGAGTATAACTTTCTACTATCTAATAGTTTCAGCACAAACAATTGTTTAGATATTTCTAAACGCGTACCGCTCGGAGGATAGAAACGGCCTCCTTGCTGAGCCACACGGGGTAGAGCACGTCGTCGTGGAGAATCGACTCGAACAAGTCGTCTTCGTTATCGGCCTCAAACGGAGGCTGTCCGGCCATCATCTCGTACATCAGCACCCCCAGCGCCCACCAGTCCACTGACGCGCCGTACTCCAGCTCCTGCAGGATCTGAATGCGACAACACGGTTCAACATGATGGGGGGGGGCAGGAAATACTGGTGCACCATGGCGGACTGGTTTTGAAAACTCAACAGATTCCCAGTCTTCAGTGCTCGGATAAAAAACAAGCAGAAGGTACGTCAATCATCTCGAAAAAATGTTGTTCACAGAAAATAAAGAAAAATGAAACAGTAGAGTACAATCAAAATTTCCGGATAAGATAATGACAGAAGGTACGATAGATGAAATGAAGGACAGTAAAGAAGAAACAAAATAGGAAGAAAAGGGAAATTTCAAAAAAGCTGACAAAAGATGCCGAAAATGTTTGAGATTGGTTTTGAGTCGTTGGTGCCCAATGACCCCGTATTTAGGTACCAATAACTGCAGCTGAAGAACCAATGCTTATTCAATTGATCATAGAAAGAATTGGTAACCGTTTGTAGTTTTCAGAGCATCCCATCATAATAAACAAATCACATACATTTAGACAGTTGGTCCGACAAAAAAAAACCCATCTAAATACTGTTTGTTGAGCCGGTGAAAAGATCAGTAGTAAATAGAGTAAAAGTACTTGATAGTATTCAGATGACAGATGAACCGAAGGAGAATATACCAGAGTAAAGAACTAGTCTGGACGCTCAGCTCACCTCGGGGGCGATGTAGTCAGGCGTGCCACAGAACGTGGTGGTGGTGACGCCGTTCTTGATGCCTTCTTTGCACATGCCGAAGTCCGCCAGCTTACAGTGTCCCTCCGCATCCAACAGGATGTTATCCAGCTTCAGGTCCCTGAGAGACAAAGACAGAACCGACGGAGGGAGGTTTACCATCATCGTGACCGATCACTGCAAAAAATGCAATCAAAGTGTGAAACATGTTCCTGGCGAGACCATATTTAGTGAAATTGCTTATTAGTTCATAGTTCTAGCAGTTGCGGGTGTCCTTGGCTGAACCTCATACGCCGTCGGGGAGGTTTACCTGTAGATGACCCCGTTGCGGTGCAGGAACATGAGGGCGGAGGTGACTTCGGCGGCGTAGAAACGAGAGCGAGACTCGTCGAACTTCCTGGATCGCTGAATCTGGAACATCAGGTCTCCTCCGTTCACGTATTCCATTACGAAAAACAAGCGGTCCTACACAAAGAGAGAGAGAGGTAAGGGATGTGGAACACGGAGATGAGCTATCACACGCGCATGTGTGTGTGTGTGTGTGTGTGTGTGTGTGCGCGCTCAGGTGGTCCTACCCGCGTCTGGAAGCAGCAGTACAGCTGGGTGAGGTAGGGGTGTCGGCGGGCAAGGGCCAGGATGCGCTTCTCCGTCATGGTGCAATCTACGTCGTCGTCCTGCAGGATCACGTCCTTCTTCAAAACTTTAACGGCGAAAACGTCCTCCGTCCCCTTCAGCTCCGCCAACATCACCTGGATGGCCGACGAAAAACGGGGGGGGCGAAAAATAATTACAGTTATGTGTGAAATCAGCGTCAGAAGACCGTTGTCAAATCAAGACTGCAGCGTGAAAAATATTTTCGTTTTAGACCGTTGGTCTGACCAACCGAGACATCTGAATGTGTCGACTTGGACACCTGCGATGACTTATTGAACGTTCGGGAACGTTAGCAGCTAAATGTTCAGCTGCTAGGAGCTAATTTTGTCTGCCAGCTGCTTTGTGCTGTTCTCACTCCCAGAGCGGCGAATACCAAATCTTTGTCAGGCTCCTCGGCACCCGATACGATTTCACGAGGCGCCCTTTGGTGCAGGATCATTAAAGAGTAAAAGGCGATGACGAATATCAGAAATACCCACACAGGGTGAGTGGGTCAAAGAAATACAAGACTTTCAACTAAGAGGCCGCTGTTAGGAACGCAAACACGTTGGCTATTCCGGTAGTTTAATATAAAAACATTGATTATTGCAGCTGTGATGCCTTCACTTTGCTGCATGCTACACAGTTTGTTCAACATTTTGTTTTCCTGTCACTACCAGGAAAGGTCTGGCTGTTTGTTCCGTACGCTGCGCAGCGAAAGGAAATATGGAAAAGAAGCTGCCTCCACGCAACATAATTGACGCGTGAATTGTTCTATTCCTGTCCCTGAAAACAAAAACGTCTCCTGTGAATAAAGGGAACTATGATGAACGGGGTGTTAACAGAACAAACGGGAAAAAAAAAAAACATGTTTCAATGATGAACATAACGAGCGGTAAACAAACAAACGCTGCCACACGCCTCCGCCGCGCCGTCGCACCTTGCCGAAGCTGCCCTTGCCGAGGACCTTGATGAAGTTGAAGTCCTTGAGGCTCCTCCTCTGGATCTGTCCGTTCTCCTTGACGGCCGAGGATGACGAGGAGGAGGAGGAGGAGGAGGTGGTGGAGGAGGAGGAATGTTGGGGTCCCTGCTGGTCGAGCGACAGCGAGTCCTGCAGGCGTTCTAACTGTGCCAAGTCTGTGGGCGCCGACGCAAAAAGCAGATCAGACATCGGCGGGAAAAAAAACAGCCCGACCGCCTTTTGGTCGCTGTCCGGTTTTTTCTTTCTAAATGCGGCTCGTTATTTGTTGCATTTGTTGCAGCTTACTCCTGAATAAACTTTGAAAATGACTATCTGTTCAAACCGGCGATGACTAAGGTCCATTATCTCTGAACAGGGTGATTAAATTGTTGTCGGTGTTCATCAACGCTCGGCTCCGTGGGACACAAATGGGAACCATTCCACTAAAGAGAAAGTTAACTTTCACTTCTCAGCTTGCAAAGTGTGAGAGAACGATGACTAACTGTGACATGCAAATAGTGGTGGGTGGCGGGGGGGTAATTCTTAGATAATGTACCTTTAGTCTTATATAAAGAAGGAAACTTCTTAAAAGGAGGAACAGTATTGTTCCGGAACAGAAAATAATACCTCTCACTGGTAAAATGAACACGTTAAAGCCACATGCTGCTAAGAACGCATCTCAAGGGGCTTTGAAATGCCTGTTTGTGTGAAATCCGTGTTGCCAGACGGTGTGTGTGTGTGTGTGTGTGTCGTGTGCAGTGTTACCCTGCTGTGAGGGGGAGGTGGGGACAGCTGGCTGGCTAAAGCTGTTGTCCTCCGCCTGGGAGAGCTCAGGAGGAGACTGGGGAGGGTCCTGCCCTGGAGTCAACTGGGAGGAGAGAGACAAGAGACGACATGACCTGTTCTGTTGGGCTGAACTCTTTGAATCGGAGGGTTTGATTGCCGCTTCGTGAGTGCGGTGACTCAGAAAACCTTTCAGCGGGATAAAAGTTGTTAAACAATTTTCATCGTCGTAATTATGAGTAATCGTGATTATAAGACTTTTAAATGCCAAAAAAAACGCAGACGGAAAGACCTCACTCAGTGACCCTCAGGCTGTGCTGCGTTTTGAAACGGCCCATAAAATTCTGCAAATAGCTGCATTAAATCAATATACAAACAAAAGGCTCGGAATCGTCGGTTATGACGATCATGCGCTTACCTTCCTCCTGCGCTGCGCAGTGTTGGAGATCTTGTCAGGCGTGACTCCGAGGTCGGCCAGGACCTTAGCGATTCCCCGGGCGTCCACACCGCAGTTAGGAGCTACATTGGACTCACACCGCCTGTGCACATTCATCTTACATACTACATGCAAACAAAAGCACGTGTAAATGGTTCAGGTTAAACCCATGAAGCTTTTAGGCCTAAAGGTTGGAATTTATTCCAAAGTGACACACTTCAACACAGTTGAAGTATCAATGTACAGGAGCAACACAGTTGACGTCATTTTGGACATAATTGCTATTTATTTGATTTCTCATCTAATATGTTGATTTTATTTTTCATTCATTGCTTAGTCTAGAAAATGCACCTAAATAATCACATGAGTAAAATAAACTTGTTTTTTTATTGAATGGTTGTCAGTCATTAGTTTGTTAAAAAAATGTTCATTCAACTAGACAGATGCTCATGGTATACGTATGGCTAGTTTTTTTCCTTTTTGTAAGAAAGGTTCTGCTTCAAAACGTATACTTCTGCATGACGGAAAACACCCTTCTTGACAGAGACACAAATCTATGTGTTGGCATTTACTATTTACTATTAAACCGTGGTGAAAATGTGTTTAATTTCACTGTAACTTAAAGTGATTTTGTAAGATCAACTACCGCTTATTGAATCATTTGTGTGTCTTTGTTCACAGCCTTTCACTTTAAATGCACACGCTTCAAGGTTGTAAAAAACAAAAGCACTTCTAAACGCATCCCATGTGCACTGACTCTGTAAATTTCCCACTGCACGTGAACTCACCTTTGCACTGCAGGCCCTGCCTCATGAGGCCCCACAGCAGGGAGCCGCAGTGGTCACAGAAGGTGGGGACCTTGTAGTTGTGGATACTGAACTTGTGGGGCATGTTAACACTGAACCGCTGCGAGCCCACCTACAGAGGGAGACACACACACACATACACACACACGCGTTACAAAGAGGTCACTGTCGCATTATCGGAGGAATAATGCATGTGGCTAGAACACAATGTACACATGTACCCCAAAGTCTGAATGGTGCCAACATCCATTTTTCAACACATAACACATGTTAAAGTCGACACATTCTTCTGAACTAAACGCTTCTAAACAGCACTAGATGTGTGCTGTTTGCACTTACCTCTTCAGGTGTGTCCTCCTGCTTCTTCATCCCGGCACACTTGGTGATGATGAGCTCATGGCAGCGCTTGTGGACGACGCAAGTGCACACTGGAAGCACAGCATCAAGACGAGGCGTTCAGGAACGTTGCTAAATCTTAGCGAATTGAATTTGGCTTTTGCTCATAAAATGTAACAATCCATTTGTGATTCTATCACCAATGATGTCCCCTAAGATTCAATGGATGAAAGTTATGTCCCCTAGCGGTTCTGAAAGGTAGCTGTTGCACCTAGTAATGCAGTGATGCCAACACTGACCTTAATAAAATGGGGCCGGGTAGCGGCGAAATGTGACTGACCCACTTTAAAAGCCGATGTAGAAATGTAGCAGTGCTATCAAAACTTTTTTGTTGGGTAGCTGCAAACTCCCATATACAGGAGGTGGATGCCACACTTTGTACGAAGGATAAACCGAGATGGTTGTGACGAGTGAAGCCAACGTGTTTTGAAATGGATTCTCTCCTATTTACCCGCATCCGTTTGCAATCAGGAGTCAGGTTGTAGAGACGTCTATGAGACGATGGCCCTGCTCCCCACCTGGTGTACTGCCTCGGTAAACATTTGAAACACGGGTTTCTGGTCTCAAGTCTTCTTCAAAACAGGAGTAATGTTTGGTGAACAGTGGTCCTATTCACAGTAAGATAGACGATGAGACAACGTGTTCTTTAGGGCAGGCTAACTAGGGTTAACCAAATTAGCCGAATACGTCGTCTCGAGTTCAATACTACGCACTCGGGAAATGGAAACTTCCATTCATTGGACGACCGTATTCGAAGTTGGATTCGATCTTTAAAACGTCCGTCCACCAAACAACGTCCACTTCTTAGATACAGTCTATGGCGGGGACTTCCAGGGGCGTCAAGGTAGATTAGAGTCAAATAAATGTCCTGACTGGTTCCATCATCTTTTATTCAAGACTAGTGCTCTCCAACAAGGAGATGTTAAAGAAAAGAGCTTTTCTGTTGTCACGTTGGGGGTGAAGGGTGGAGTTATCAAAGATAAGGCATTCTGAAATGTCCTCAAACTTGAAATGTTTTCGGATAAATTGTGTCTACAACATCCCAGTGTGATTATTGACATGATTGTAATTCACGAGCAGCGATTAAATGCCTCAACAAATGAGTTAAGTAGCACTTTCCACTCCCAGGTGAACGTTTGCGTCCACTGAACTGAAAAGATGTTCATGAGTTCATTTTTAACAGCAGATGTTGTTGGTGTGACGCAGGTCAGCTGTGGCTCTGGCTGAAGGTGGCTTGAGACCAAATCACAGCTGTCACTCAGCTGCATGTAATCCCTCTTGAGTTCTCGTGCTTAAATAATAAATGATGTGCAGAGAAATTGGAAGCCGGCAGAGAAAAGTACTCACCCTGACATTGGTATCCCTGCTTCCCCAGCACGCCCCTATCGGAGGACACACACACACACACACACACACACACACACACAGAGAGCAGGTTGGATGAAGGAAACACGAGGGCAGGTGCGTTGGGTCTAACCTGTGTGTTTTGTGTCCTACCAGATAAAATCTCTGCAATGTGAGCAGTAGGTTGGCTGTCTCAGGTAGGTGGCCATGAACTTGTGTCCATTGACCTGATGGACGCGCCTCCGGACGGCGCCTTGTCGCCGGCGAGGGCCGATCCTCTCTCGAAACACCCGCTCCTCATTCTCATTGGTCCCCGTGGCTGTCAGAGTGACACAAAAACACACACACACACACACAAGTAGTGTGTTTTTATTAACAAAAAAGAAATGTCGCAACATTTTGTGTCGCTAGGTAAGTTTCCGAGTTTTCTGATTTGCTTCGTACAAATACGGATGATTTGCCTCATGTTGCTTGAGATGCTTAATCATTTAACAGCCTCTCATCTTCCTCGCCTCCCCCCCCATCCCCCTCCCCTGACTCTTCCTCGCACACAAACACCCCACACCTACCAGATACGTGCTATTTATACTCTCATGTGTGGGCACTAAAACGAAGGACAGCGTATTAAGATACTCCTCCTCGCATCCTCGCTGCATCTCCTCGGAGAGATTAATGCTTTCCGAGGGTAATCTTAAGACAAGAGATCCACCTCCACTCTCACTCCCACACGCACTGCTTCCCTGAGCGCTGCTGTCCTAGTTTGCCTGTCTTTTACACACACACACACACACACACACACACACTCTCTCTCCTGGGTGCGTTGTAGATGTGGTTACTGTTGAGTTTCGATTACAGGCAGGCTGTCTAGGGATTGTGCGTGTGCGTGCGCCTGTGTGCGTGTGTGTGTGTGATGGTGGTGTCGCTGAGAGGGAGGGGGACAGCTTAACAGGCCATTACTGGGATCACTTTGTTTTACATAATACATCATCCATCTGTCCTGGACACACACACACACACATCACACACAGGCGTCCCGATGAAGCATAGCAACAGTTAATAGCGATCGTCGTGGAGACAGACGTTGTCTGGTTCAGCTGAATGACCAACTGGGAGATCTGACGTTCAATAAACACACACATACGGAGGGACAGAAGATTCAGATCTGACGGAAACGTGCGGAAGACCAGCAGACGGCGAAGGCAGAGAAGAAGAAACAAGCTGGACTATGGATGGATGAAAAACAAACGTGATAATAATTGATAAAACGTGGCAGTTCTAAACTAGGGAATGCAACATTGTCTTCACCGGTATATGTATGTGCAATATTCAACTAAGAGATTTGAGTATAGAATTTGTAAATTAAATTGAAAAAGTGCTGCGTTGTTTAATTCTGACTGCGGATACATTTGAAAGAAAGTCCCAGACAGACCCCTGAGCACTTTTGGGGAATGGACCTAAATGTTCTAATGAACTCAAATTAATAAATTGACTTTGATATTCTGATATTTGGTGGGGCAGCTACTATCCAAACATATTCAGTTACGTGTGATGTAGAAATCTCCACATTTCAGAGGCTGTGAATACAACGTTAGGCCATTATTCAAGAAGTACTCGGTATTATCAAAATAGTTGGTGAATATATTTCTGTATATTAGTCAGATTATCGTTTCAGCACAAATTATCATAGTAAATATAGATATAACATGATCAATTTGTAGGGAATGAAAATCTTTCACTGAATCTAGGTTCATCATTTCCCCCCAAAAAGTGTGCGAATGTTAAATAACAGATTATTGCAAGATCCTTTTTTCAGAATAAAAACATTTCATTTTAAGAGCTCACTCATGAAAGCTATCTTTTACTCTTTGAGGAAAGCGAATAAAATATTTAAAGGGAGCAGAAGAGGATGAAGAAACAGCGAAGGGAGAGACTGCAGATGGTAAGATTAGGTCAGATTATTGTCTTCGTTCGCTTCTCTGAGACCAACAGATGTTCAAGGAGAGGAGAGGAGAGGAGAAAAGAGGAGAAAGGAGGAGAAAAGAGGAGAAGAACAACTCTTTCCAGCCTCTGAAGCTGAAGAGAACAGATTGCACCAGGGGAAAAAAAAGAAACCGCTAAAAATACCACCTCTTCCTCTAGTTCTCACCCTCCATCTCTCCATCCCTCCTATCAGCACACACACACACACACACACACACGCACGCACCATTTGTTTTTATCAGCACACATTAACATCACCAGCACTCATGCCAGCTGAACTCAGGGAGGAAGTTCAGGAGTGGGTGGGGAGTGGGTCGTGAGGTCACCGCAGAGTGTCCAATCATCGATGAGGAGGGCAAGACACTGACGCCTGAGTCTGCATATGTATGTGTGCGTGTGTGTCTGCGTGCGTGCGTGTGTTTGTGTAATCCGTGGCTCAATCTCACCTCCTATTTTAAGAATCGACTCCCTCACTCTCTCTCTCTCTCTCTCTCTCTCTCTCTCTCTCTCCCTCTCGCCACCCTCTACTGCCCGCTTTATCCGTCATTCCACAGGGAAACTATAGTGCTGCGTTATACTGCAGGATGCGTACACACATATGGGTATGTGTGCGTTTGTGTATATATACATGCTCACTTTCACTGGAGGGCAGAGAACCGTTTCTATTTATAACCAGGTGTGAAGATACACAGGTGCAGGTGAATACCACTCTTATCGGGGCAGCATGTGACCGAGCGCGTGTGTGCCGAAGGGGCTAATTGAGAGAGATGTTTCCATGTTTAATTAATACGAACAAATAGAGGAAAAGGAAATAGAGAGCAAGAGAGAGGAAGAGAAACGCTCTATAAAATCGGTTGTGTCACTTTTTTAGGGGAATAGGGAAGTAACCTTTCCATCGGCCTCTTCGTTTGTAATCGCACACCAGCCGCGCTAATGACGTAACACGGAAAAAAACGTCCCCACAATGCATTTGCTTTGTTAGTGGCTTGAGAGCATCTGTCAGCCTTGTGAGGTATGTCCTTTATATCTCAAAGCTTTGGCAGACGTGGCGGGTTGCTTTGAAAGTAGCCTGGCCATCGTGGGTTGTGGTCCGAGAGTCGCGGGAACCTAAAGAGGGAAGTTACGGCCCAACGGCTGAACAATGACGCAAAGCCAGTACGGGCGCAGCTCCCAACGATGACGATCAACACAAGCCACTCGTAATATGTCATCGTCCTGTGACATACTAACTGATCACCTGCGGCTACGTTCATGCCTGAGAACCATAATAACTACAATTAATAACAATTAATGCTATCCAGTTCTACGCAGCGCTTTAAGCATTTTTTTAACTCATTGATCTGCTTCTTTAAGGCCCAATATCACAATGTTTTGCCTCCGTTTAGGATCCTGGGGGCAGCTGGTGCACGTGGTGACACACTTAGAAACCGAAGAGGCCGATGTTTCCCACAAGAGTTGGGGCGAAACCAAACCAGGCCTGAAAGAGGAGTGAGCATCGCATGCCAAGAAACACAACATTATGAATGCTAATGTTTCTTAGAATGCTGGGCAGCTGATTTCAAACAAAGGTGTACTGTACTGTGTTTCAATATGTAGTGGCTTTCCTGTCGCTGGTGTAACCGGGTGGTTTTTGCGGTGGTTTTACCTTCAGTAGAGGAACCGGACAGATCGATGACCACGTACACCTTCCCCTCCGGCTCCAAGTCAATCTGTAGTAGAGAGAGAAACAGAGAGAGCAGTGAACAGTGAACGCATCATTTCTGTATCTCAAATGTCATCTGCACATCTAAATCTTGCAACAGGGGTTCTGGTGTTCATGAGCGTCTCCACCCTTTCCTTGTGAACCCACCGCCATGTAAAAAAAGTGGGCAGCAGAAGCTGACAGGCGAAAGTGTGACGTGATGTTGCTCAGCGTCTGAAAGCAGAAAAACTGGAGCGGTTGAACCATTGAACTTCTAATGGACAACTTGCTCCATCTCCAACCCTTCAAGTTGTTGGCTTTTAAAAGTGGAGTATAGATCAAGTCAATAAAACTGATAAAGCTACAGTTTATATAATGAATAAAGGTAAAATATGATGTATTCATCCACCTATCTAGTGTAGGCGGAAATCATTCAAAACTTCCATTTCTCCTTTATGCTCCAGGATGGACAACATTTCCATACAGAGATGAATAAGGTATAACATTAACTTTCCTTATATAATCATACCAGATATTCTGTTACTTTTAACTACAGCAGCAATAAATAAATACATGAATAAAGTTTAAAATAATTATTTTAAACTTGAAATTTAAAATAATTGAATAAAAAATAATCAGAGTCAAAGGAGCTTTTCTGACTAAACGTTCTTTTGCTGTGTTTGGGGGAGTTTGCAGCATCGCATGCTGGACAAAGTAATGTGGAGTCTCATCCGACCTTCGTATTTTTAGATCACCAGCGCGCCCGGTCCTCTCTGTGTCAACAGGAAAGATGTTGGATGGTAACATTTGATTTCTTGTGTTACTCTCCTGTTGCCCCAAAAAAACAAGAGCAGCTTCGGAGAATAAAAGTACCTGAGTTATAATCCATGAATCCTCCGTATACGTGGCAGAAACTACCAACTGACGCTGATCACATTATATTCATTTTTACTAAAAAGGGATATTTATTAACAAACATCTTAAATTAGCAGTCGTATTCATGGTTATTTGTGTTTGTCATTGAAATAGATCCTAATTTTATTCAGGGAACAGAACAAGAAAGAAAGGTTCCCTCCTCAAACATAGTATTTGATAAGCAAACATACAATCTGCATACGCACAAGACTTATTCAACAAATAATGACATCAAGCCCTGGTCAATATACAAGTGGAGAGATTAGAGGGAGCGACACAGAGAGACAGACAACACAAGAAGAGAGAGCACAAGAGAGAGTGAGAAAGAGAGGTTTAAATCCTTAGTTAAGCTCCGGGACAGCAGCAGATCCTCTTATGCAACAGCCAGACTCGCACACACACACACACACACACACACACACACACACATGCATAGATGTCCATGCATTGCTGAACATGGTAAACAGAGATTGCACGGAAACCAGGCGTCTCAGCGGTAGAGGCACAGAATCACCTGGAGAGGAATCTACAGTGGACTCATAGGACAGAAACGAGAAGATAGAAGATGTTTTGTTTGATATTTGTTAATGTAGTGTGGGTCCCTTCAAAATGACGTATTATATTTTATTTTTCCTTAAAAGTTAGATGAAATGCAACCAGCTATAAAGAAAAGGTTGGAATCATCATCCAATAAAGGATGACAATTATTTGAGCTGGCCGCATCATTTTGCATAATTGCTGTATTACACATCACAGGAATTGAAATGTACCAAACCGTTTCCTCCATGCAAAGCTATTCTAGCGCCGTCGCTTCAATCTAGTTACTTTCAAGATAACTAACATGAACATGTTTTGTATGCAAAAGGGGTGTGAGTTATTGCAACAAACGATTGGAAAGTTGGTTCATTATGACTATTTGTCAAAATTTCAAGAAAGAAAGATCATGCTTAACCATAAATGTATCTTTTTTTAAGTAGAGCAGAAGCAATTGGTTCGAATGATAATGAAGACTTGTTTACGAAGTACATTCATATTATATCATTGATTGATTGTTTTTTGAACAAAGATTTGCTGCATTCCTCTGTCATGTATCCATTCTTTTATTCAAACGTAAAAAGACATTTGAAGACACCTTGGGCTCTGGTGCACTGTGGTTAAGTCCAAGTCAAGGGGTTCTGGTGTGGATGACATCTTCTGTCGTTGCATATGTCATTCTATTGATGATCCCATTAGGCTTTAATCCATTCCTGAGTTGATAGTAAATACATTTTGAGGAAGTGTTATTGGTTTTGTTTCCTTATTTAATGAACAATGAGAACGACCACTAGTTGCATGCCTTATGATAAGGAATATGAAGCTAAATATAGCAAAAAGGCAAAGAGAATGTAGCACTGATGCTCATATGTGCAGTATCATCCTTTTGTGGCATGTTTAACACATAACAACTGCATGGGATTTGCGGCCTATAAACGGCACTGGATTCTTGATGTCTACCCTTGAAAATGATGTGCTAATCCCCAATTGTAACCTCTTGCATAACTCGGCAGAGATTTCAGCTGAAAGATGGACAGATTTGGAACAGAGTGGAGCAAACAGGCAGCGCCATCATTGATTCAGTGCTCTGGATCCAGAGGTTGTACGCCAGCCAAAAAAGAAACTGCACTGCGCTGACATCACCAATTATCGGCCTCTTGGGCTGTGAGTTGCCTTCACGCTTTTTCCTATTTGCTATCAAAGCCAATAAGAAACACTACTACACAGATATGTGTTATTGAAGATGAATACAACTATGCCTGTGTTGTTTTATTTATTTTGGCGGGACAAAATCATCACTGCATTTAAAATTCATAGTGAAAAAATCCACTAGAATTGAGGACACAGTAGATATTTTCGACAGGCAGTGCATAACCCGGCATAATCATTGTCTTATTTATTATTACAACTATGATTTGTATGCTAAGGCAGTGGAACAGAAATGTGTCTAAATCCATCCAAAAGGCTTCTCATACAGCCAGCGCAGCGTTCATTCATTTTTGGCATAGAAATTAATTGAATAACTGGCTGTTAAGATCGATAAGAATGTGAGAGCGTATTCAGAAATGCTACAAGAAAGAAATCTTTATTTTCCTAAAAGCTGATAATGACGTTAGCTGTGCAGATATTTCTATGGTTACCGCTCTACTACAGTGTAATCATGTATCCTAGCAACAGACGTTTCTATGGTTGCAGTGGTGCTTTATTTTTTGGTGGGACATTGTAAAATACTGAAATTTGCTCCTTATGTTTTGTGTTATTAAAGATGTTATTGTGATAAGAGACAGCTTGTCCTACTTGTGGTGCTATTTTTTTACTTTTCAGTAGAAAACTACCTACAGTATAGGAAGATACATTATTGTTAGTGTGATATTATTAAAAATAATGATAATAATGATGTCATTAAGATAGAAATACTTCACCCACAGGTTGACCATGTGCATTACTCAACCTGTGCTACTTTGCGTCACGGTGTGGGTTCGTTTCCTGTTTTATTTTGTAGTCTCCTGCCTCTCGTGTCCCCGGCTTAACTTCACTTCCTGCCATGCATGTTTTCTCCTGTCCTCCTGTGTTCAATCGCCTGCACCTTCCCAGTGTATTTGACGTTTGTGAAGAGAACTTGGCTTTCCTCGCATTCCTCCACGGTGAACCAAGAAGACTTTGGCATGAACGCTCCCACGCACGCCCGGCCACACTACTCGCCCCGTGCGAGTTTGGACTTGTCCAAAGTGTTTTAGTAGTGTGAGTTTAGAAGAAGTATGGGTTTGGCAAGTAGTGAGCGTTGGAATAAGCGACTTGGGTTACACAGCACGAGTTGAGTTAGTTTGCAACATGTCTGCTGTGACTCGACTGGAATCAACTCACAATCTCCTTTTCTGTGGTTCTGACCTCTAACCTGTCTCCATTTGTCACAAGACAGCATGTCATTACATAAGCCCATCCCTTCAGCAGGTAATTCAAGGTAAAACCTCAAATATGTACAAATCAACATCCTTTAGGCATTTGACGATTTACAATATCGAGCATGGATGTCATTTAGAACCTTGATATGCGGGTTAAATAATTCCCCCTTTAACCCTGACGCGTAATTAGGAATAAACTGTTTGCAATTTCCAAGAGCCCAAAGACAAAAAGTAGTACAAATCTAAACTATTTTTGTTTGAACGTCAGTGTGAACTAATAACACTTCCTCAAAATTGTTGATTTATTTTCTATCAACTCAGGAATGGATTAAAGCCTAATGGGATCATCAATAGAATGACATATGCAACGGCAGAAGATGTCATCCACACCAGAACCCCTTGACTTAACCACAGTGCACGGACACACTCGTCTCCCGACAACAAAAGATGCGAGCAGAGAGAGCTGGAGAATCTAGTTCGCCTCATTAATCTTGTTAGTCCAATTAGGACACCGATACAGCCAGGTGGACAGATAGCACACACACACACACACACACACACACACACATAGAAGCAGCTCAAGTGTGTGTGTGTGTGTCTGGGGATTTTAAAATGGACTTCGGAGGGATGTCAGCATTAAACAAACATATAAGCTTAACTCTCTTGCGCTCGTCCCTTCACCGCGCGCACACACACACACACACACACACACACACACGCTCGCACACGCACACAGCATATGCAGCGGCACAGAGAAGCACTCAAACAAGCAGACAGGCCACTCAGAGCTTGTATCATATCAATACTGTGGAGCTGACCCCCTCCCACTCTCCGTCCATCCAGTTGGCTATCTCTGCCCGACCAGACAGCTCTCTGTGTCTCTCTCAGGAGCGTTTAGTCTCAGTCACAGCCTCCCACATCCATCTGTCAAATAACAAATTTAGGCTTTGAGAGAGCTCGACCACATTCGCACAATAACGTGTGCTTCTATTTGTGTGTGTGTGCGTGTCCGCCTGCAGACCCGCTGCGGAGGTCCATGCTGAGTGAGACAACATGAGAGTCATGCATCTTTAATGTAACATCACAGATGGCTAATAATGTAAGAGGAGCTGAGCTGTATGGCAGTGGTGAACGGTGTGTGTGTGTGTGTGTGTGGGGGGGGGTGTTCAACCAGGCC